CATCCACAGCATCTTTGAACACCTTTCAAATTGGTGAAATAGTCCATGGTTCATTTGGGAGGGGCATGGTTCATTTGGGAGTCACTCGATTCCCCACAAAGGAAAACAATACAAAACAAAGCAGGTGTTAAAGGCCAGCGATCCGAGCGGTGCCTTGGGGGTCAGGAGTATTCTTCCAACCTCAAAACGATTTGATTCCCCTGATGCCAACAAATGGTGTCTCATCCTGGTTGTTGTTGGGAAACATGTTGCATTTTTGCTGATTGTGGTTTAGTGGTTGAAACCCAACCACTTGACTGCTAAAAAATGACATTTTTGCTCCCCAAACCCAACGTCAACCAAGTCATGGTTCTTAGGTGCTTCCCATGGTTTCTTAGGGGCACCCACCTCAGAAACCCTGGGTTCCCCTGCAGTAAATGCCAACCAATGGTGTCAACCATGGTTGAAATTCGTGGTGCGGTGGATGGATGTCGCGTCCATCAGGAGCTGGTGCTCTTGGCGCTGGAAGAGGACTCCAAGGCCTTCCGCTTCGCCTCCTCGCGGCTGCATGCGGACCGGGAGGCGGGGCGGCGGCTGGTGGGAGGGGAGGGGGAGGGGAGGGGAGGGTGGGGGAGGGGAGGGGAGGGTGGGGGCAGGGAGGGGGAGGGGAGACAAGCCCCGGCTTAGGGTCCTGGCCTTTTTCTGCTTGTTTTTTGGCTTTGGAGACCGTTTTAGTTGTGAATAGAAAAGTTCGGACTGGTGTTTTGGCCAATCCAACCAGGGAGTGAGATGTTGGAAGCCCAGGCGTAGGGTAGTTTCGCAACGAGAGGTCGGCCGGAAAAAGAAGCCATCATGTACAAGCTGGTAAGAATCTCGAAGGGTTACCAACCTGGTCACCGGAAGCACCGGGCAGGTTAAGTGGGGAAATTGTCCAAGTGGGCTTGAACTCACTTCCCATCAATTTCTCACTTCTCACTTCCAAGCAGTTGCCGGGCTTAGCCACTTCTTGGGAGAACTGGTTTTGGAAGAGGTGAGACTTGTTTGAGAAAACCATTTGGGTGTGGGGAGCCCCAGAAAAGGGCGGTTGTCCTTTTGGTCTGCCTTTAAGCCAACCTAGAAAGGATACCCTCAAAAACAACCATGTTTTGGACAACAAGACAGCTAGTTTTGTCGGCCACCCAGGAAACGAGAAGGCGGGACAGCGCTGCTGTTGGGGCGCTTTCACACGGTCCCCTCCCCCCCCACCTGCCTGCAGACCCCTTGATGAAAGAAGAGGACGTGGAACCCCTGATTCAGACAGTTGCTATGCCACTTGCATAGGCTCTGTTCCAAAACGGAACTGGTCCCAAGGAAGAATTTTCTGACGCCTCAAACAAATGCCAACCATTCTAGGCCTTCCTTCCCCCCTATTCTTTTTTTAAAAGCAATTAGCAGAAGGGCCGATCAGCAAAGGCACCCCCCAAAACGGGTCAGACATCCCATCAGGTGATGCTGGCGGCGGTGCACCGAAACGGCCTGGCGCCTTGGAGGAAACCAGGAGCCCAGGGAAGAGCAACCCGAACTTTTTTGACTGCAGTCTTGAAGCATCACACACACACACACACACATGTGGGTGTGGCTCAAAATTAAACAGGAGGGGCAAACAGCAGGTTTTGGTCCATGTTTCCACTTACCAGGGCAAGCCATTTTGGTACCGGTTTTTTGAGCCACAGACATGTACCCTCCCTTCCACTAGCATAGAACCTGTGGGAGGGTACTTGGAAGATCATTTTCCTCGTCAATAGGCCCTCTGTCAGGTGCCATGTTAGTGGGAGTGAGGGTATGGCCTGAGGTCTTTGTTTGATTGTGTTTCTTTTCCTTCTGGTGGTTGTTGCTTAATGAGGCACACACGCAAATCATGTCCAATGCCCCTGAATCTTGCAACATCGCCTTTGGCTTGCCCTTCAGTGAGCTTCCTTGAGCCTCAAGCAAAATCACAGGGCTCAAACTTCCGTGGTTCTGAAGGGGCCTTTCAGCACCTGGCCCATGGAGGCTGGCTCAAGTATTCACTCGCCCAAAGCCAACCTTTTTCACCTTTTGGTTTTCCCATTTTGGTCCATAAGGGTTAACCTAAAGGATTTGTCCTTTTTCCAACCATTTTGGTCCCATTTTGGTTTTCCATTTTAGTCATGGCCCCAAAAGGTGATCACCTGGTATTTCCAGGTCCTGGCAAGCGAGGCGCTTTTGGCACGTGGCATTTGGAGCTTCCAGCCAAAAAAAAACTCGGGGCCCGAGGTGAAGAGACATTCTCTCAACTTTGATCCCAATTTTCGAATGGGACCCGTACCTTAGGGCAACCCTTGGAGGCCGGTTTTCCTTCACCGTCCATAAAGGGGTCTCCAAGTTGAGAGAAATGTGTTTGGTTTTGGAAATGGGCTGCCTTCCATTTCCGAATTCTTTCCAGGGATCCGAATCTTTCTAGAACACCTCCGGAATGCCAGGGAAAACTTAAACGCTGGTCTTTGAGAAGAGCGATGGTTGAAAAGAATGGAAAAGGAATCAACCCCTAGAAGTTTGCTCGGAAACACCATCTCCAAACCAAACGAACTGCGACACCGTGTTTCAAGGCGTCTCTGATTTTTCTACAGGGGTCCCTGTTGGTGGCTTTAAACATCAGCCCATGAAAGGTGAGTGTCCCTTGGTTTTTGAGGGGAAATATATGGGGCTTTGTAGGAGAACCAAAAGGAAAGCCGAAGTGCATAATTATTTTGAGGGGCTTTGATCTAGGGGCTTTTGGCAGGTTCCAGGTAGATTTTGCTGCTATTCACCTCCATGAACAGATGTATTACTGGGGAGAACGCCATCTTGAAAGCTAGGCTCCAAGGGTTTGTCTTTTTTTGGCCCTCTTTGAGTACTGTTTTAAAGGAACCCAAAAGGAAGCCACCATTTGGAGGGTCCCCTAAAACCAGGCACAGAAGTGTTTCCTTTTCAGGGAAGCCTTAGGGTGGTTTCTCTTTGGCTGCCCCAACCCCAAGGAAGCCAACTGCCAAAACAAGACACACCCTGAAAGCCAAATTAGGTTAAAGTGAGGCTTTACTGCTTCTCCAGAAAACAGGGATGTTCAACCCAACTTTTTAGTCAGTTTTTCTATCTGAGGTTGGCTGACTTACGTTGAGAAACCCACCTAGACACACTGTGGATGGACCAAATCTATTCGCACCTTATGGTTTCAACCACGGTTCCTAGGTGGTGCGACATGGGATTTCGCCGCAGTAGGTTTGCACCTCCAGGTGGGGCATCCAATCAAAACCCGGGTAGATGAAGGTTCGTAAGGGGCAGTCCCCTGGCCAGAAATCGTTGCGGCCGCCTCCTTCATGCTTGAAGCATGGTTCTGGGATTACTACCATTTTAATACCGGGTTTTGAGCAAGTGACTCATTGGACGTCCAGGTGGATTCTTGAATATCAAATGCGCAGAGAAGCTACTTCCAATATCAAGCGGGGCATCCAAGCACTCGATTCGATTCCCTGCAGGTTTTGGAGCACGCCGTCCCCGAGCTCCGCGACGACCGGGAGGTGGTGAAGGCGGCGGTGGCGCAGAACGGCCGGGCCCTGCGCTCCGCCAGCGCCAGGCGGCGCCGAACAATTCGGCGGTGGGATTCGCGGGGAAATGGCGGGCTTTGGGTGAGGATTTTGGTTCAGAGACAAATTTGGGTGGGTCGTTTTTGCCGGTACCTCTTGTTTTTCTTCTTCTTTTTCTTGGTGGTTTCAAAGGGAAACTCAAAGGACAACTATACCATTTGACCCATTCCCTTGTGATCTGTGGCGACAAGTTACGTGCCCCCAACTTCGAGCGACTTGAGCTCCTGCCACTGGTCCAGTTGTGAAAACTCCTGCGGGTATTGAAGTCCGTTGCCAGGGAACCGACGAAATGCGTTCGCACCACTTTGAAGCTATGGGATGCTACTCTTGGCGGCTCCCAGCCATCCCCTTAGCCTTTGAGCTTTTGAGTGTTTAGTGGTAGTTTCCATTTAACCCCATCTGAGGGCAGCGCAGGTGGAATCGACTCATTCCAGGGTTTCTTAGGTGGTACGAACGGATTTTTCGTCCACAGAATGTCGGCACTTCGTAGGTGGCAGGCAGATCGGGAGGTGGTCATGCTCGCGGTGGAGAACGACCCGGAAGCGCTGAGATATGCAGCGAAGGAGCTGCAGAGCGATGCAGAGCTCCAGAGCCTGGCGGGCTAAAAAGCCCCGAGCCGCGAGCCGCGCTCCGCTTTGCGAATGGGGCCTGAAACGGGCGAGAAGTGTGGGAGTCCTGTTGGAGCTGCTGTGGATGGACAGAAGAATTCCTTTCGCACCAGCTGGGATGGATGATATGAACAAAACAACTGTCAATTGTTTGATAAGCATGGGCAACCAGCTTACTAGCTGGTGCAGGTGATTGGCAATCCACAGTATGCCATTTCAAAAAGGGTTGGAGATGGTAGGAGGGCCGCCCTGGGAGCAAAGAATGACCATATCGAAAGCAACCTATGGAATTCCAACATCCATGCATGAACAGATCCAGTTGCCACATCCCAACCCCACCGTTGTTTTCTCCCAGCACAATCAGCTTGGAGCTGCCATAGCAATGACCCCCACAGATTCAAGCCTACTATGAGACCCAAGAACCCAACTGTTTTTGTAGGTTCTCAGGAGACCCCCGGTGTTTTGGGCAAGAAAACCCATATTCTCCAAGAGGGTGTTTTGATAACATGGAACCTACAAAGGGAGGGGGTGGTTTGGGGTTCCCATGGTACAGACCCAATGAGGTTTCAAGATGTTTGGTACCGGTGTTTTCGGGGGGTACCCTTTTCCTGGCTAACCCCCCCTCTTGTTTGGTCCATATTAAAAGGGATTCTGGGGGGTAGCGGGGGGGGGGTAGGGTTTTGACCCACAGCCAAACAAAAGGGCGAAAAGATGCTTTGTGGACAATTGGTTCCCCTAAAAACAGCCAAACCATAAGTGGTTTCTCCTAATATCGGACCTCCCGTTTGCTGAGGCAAGGCGCTTGCTGACGGTGGACATGCGCGACCAGCTGGTGCAAACTCTGCGGGCTCCAGCCTGAGGAATCAAATTGTGAGGGTCGATTTGGAGTGGCCTTGGGTGGTTTTTCCACGTGTTGCGCGACGTTTTGCGGTTTGGTTGCTTGCTTGCTTGGAAACTTCCCCAAAAAATTGTTGTTTTGTTTCTTTCTTTCTTTTTTTTCTGGCCTGTTCTCAACTGAAAAAAGGACCGGAGTGCGACTGTGTTGTGCTTCGGTGTTTTTTTGCTGTTCAAATCAACCAATAATCGCCACGAAAAGGAGCCAGCCGGTTTTTGTTCCATGGGAAACCGAAACCTTTGGAGACTAAGGGGGTGCTCCTTAACCCTCACAAAGATAGGTTTCCATTGGAGTGCTTCCCACTACCATGGGCCCAAAACCCTCCATCCTTTGTAAAACACAGGGTGTTTCTGATGAGCCTTCGGAAACAAGGGTTGTTGACTCTCATGGAATGGATATTCTCAAAGATTCGGGGCTGCCAACCCCCGTTTTGAAGAGCCCTAACACAGAAGCTTCAGTCGTTTTGAGTATGGGTGACGATGGTCTTTTGTTTTTTTGGTTCCGATTTCTGGGGTTGGTTAAAAAAAAAGGGACACCGCATTTTCTTTTGTTGGCACCCCGAAATTGCAGGCAAACCCATAGGCAGGTGGTTGGCTTTAGCCTCGGGCGGCGATCAAACTTTTGACCGCTGGGCCGAAAAAGGCATGCTCTTTGAAGATGAAGTTGTTTTTGGGGGAGCTCCAAAGTGGTTGCTGGAGATTAACACCGAATTTTGATGTGCTTTGGGTCCGGGTTCAGGACCCTGACCCAAGTTTCACACCCATTTGGCTGACTTTGAGCAATCCAAATAAGAATTGCTTTGCTAGACAACTAGCAGCGGACGTCAATCATGCATATTTCTGTGGGAACCACAAGCTATGCATTCCCAGCTCCCAAGGAACAATGATGTACATCATTGCACGAAGGGCTTGTTCTTTCTGGACACTGGCGCTTGCTGGTTCTTCTTATCCCAACTCCCAGGCCTCTCAACGGTAGAGTTGGGGCAGGGCGGACTCCTGAAATGTCATTTATAATTGCATTCTCCTGTTTTGGGGGGGATGAGACCCATGGAACTGGAAATCCTTGCTCAATCGGGGGCTTTCTTCTTGCATGCGGCCCAGGAATATCGGCGTCACTTTGAGCCGGATCTCCCAGCTGAGCCCCGCGTTTCCACTTGATCCGAGGCTTCGGTCGGTGTTTGTTCCCTGGATCCAGACAGCCGGGATTTCTGTGTACATCGACCTGTTTGCCTCTAGGCTCGAACGAGGTTCTTCTTTAATGGCAGCAATATTATTTGGTAAAGCCATTTGTTCAAAGAAGAAAGAATGTTCGAGATTCCAATGTATCATTTTTGAGGTTGTCCGGACAACAGAGGCAAATCGTCAAAAGGAGACCTTCTGCTTTTCCTTGCGTCCTTTCAGCGTGATGTGCGCGGCTCAATCCACAGCCATTTGCTGGGCTTGCGGCTGGCGCATTTTATGTTTACCGCACGCCATTTGAGATCAGATCCTATCGTTTGCTGTGAACTCATGGCCTCCACCCTCAATTTACCCCAACAAGAATGAGAAATCACCCCACACTCACGGCGCGTATGTCCGATTTCTTCCATTTGCTTCAAAATATGTTTGAACGGAACCTATGGGCATAAGTTCCCAGTATTTGTTCAGGTGACGACAACGGAGGAAGTTTGAAGGGTAGACCCTGGGGTGCAGTTACCACCATTAAAATGGTTGTTCATATATCACCACCAGTGTTTACCCCTCAGGATTGTCATCATCCAATTTGGGTCCCCTTGGGCCTTTCTTTCTCTTAATGGGGGCAAAAAGAACCCTGGGGTAGCAGGAAAACAGGGGAATTCAGCTCATCATTTTGGGGGCAATCGCCCATTTTTCAGTTCGAACCTTTCCAGGCTCAGAGCAGGAGCCGGAAAAAAGACATCTTCTTTTCTTTTATGCGGCGATCGCCCATTTTCTAGTGGGAATACCCCAGACGGGTTTCCCCGCATCCAGCGCTCCGAGGCCGGCGGCCTTTGGCCCCGCGCTGAAGCTGTGGGCCAGCGCCTCCGTGGGTTTCGGGTGGCCCCGTGGTCCGTGTTTGAAATTCACCAAATGGGGGGTAGACGTGAAAAGAAGGATGGAGCCACACCAAATGTTTGTTGCGGTTCTTGTTGGGAAATCGGGGCAAGACAAACATAGAATGGGGGGGGGTGGGGCTTTGGGGCGCAACAGACGAGTGAGCCCCTCGGACTCCAGTTGCCTTGGTTCTCAGGTTTGGATTTGAATCTGCCGCTTGGATTTGGACGAGGCAAATTAAGCGAAAAGTCGACACCAGGTGCCCCACTGCTCGACCAGACGGATGCTTTCTCTTTCAGGCTATCATTGATACCCGAAAAAAGAAGAAGAAAAAACACACACACACACACATGTGACAATGTGACAGGGATGGGGATGTAACACAAGTCTTCCTCAGTCTATTTAAGTTGTACCCTCTAGACCCCAAATCCTAAACACCACTTCGTGGTGCGGGGAAAAAGCAACACAACATTATGATTAATAGTAATAGTGATAATGATAATGATGATAATAATAATAATGATAACAATAATAGTAATAGTAATAGTAATAGTAATAGTAATAGTAATAGTAATAGGAATAGTAATAGTACTAGTAATAGCAGTAATAATAAGAATGGTAATAATAATACAAATAACAAAATACAAACACGAGGGCACCCACCACCTGCACCATCAGAACCAATGGACTTGATTGCGATTGGGTGTTCCAGATCTTTCGACTGGAACACTTCTTGGGCTGAAACGACATGTTTTGGTTTTTGTCCTTCTTCTTTTTCCAAATTGAAACCACACAAGTTTTTAAGCAGAACTTTTTTGCCGGATGGGGTCCTTGCAACCAAGTGGAGATCAGTAAAAAAAAGCCCAAAACTCATGGAGGGCCCGTTCCATGGTTGTTGTTGGGAAACATTTTACATTTTTGCGTATTGTGGTTTAGTGGGAAATCTCCACTTAACTGCTAACATTTGAATTTTTGCTCCCCTTCCAACGTCAACCAAGCTTCCGCTTTAGGGCCAGAGGCCGGAGGCGCGTCTCCATGTCCGCGCTCAGGAGCGGTGCTACCGTGAGACCCGGCGCTCTGAGCTGGCGCCGGCCTCATTTGCCTCGAAGCCTCTCAGTTCAACCTGCCATTTGCCGAAATGGGTGTGGCTCAAAATTAAAACAGGAGGGGCAAACCGCAGGTTTTGGTCCATGTTTCCACTTACCAGGGCAAGCCATTTTGGTACCGGTTTTTTGAGCCACAGCCAAATGAATATTTTACATTTTCCCTTGTTGGTTTTAAAGGGAATCTATCACTACTGGATTTTTTTCAGTTTTGTCCCGGGGGCCAAAGGAAATGGAAGCAACGATTTTTGGGAAGGGAAAGGCCCAGAGGTGTCCAGTTTTGTTGGTTTGCTGAGAAACAGATCGCACATGTATGGGGAGAGTTTCAGAAGCCCATGTACCAAATTATTTGTTGGTTTGGGATGAGAGGATTCTTCTAAGGTGTATAACTTAGAGGATTCTTCATACGCCCATTTACCAGGGCCAGGCAAGATTGTGCAAAAGGTCATCTATGGAAACGCCCTTCAAACGCCCAGTTGCTAGATGGTTGACACGTCAATGAGATTTGGCCTTCGCAAACCGGCAAAGGCTTCTAGGAGCTCCATGTTTCTTTTGCAGGGGCGAAATACCAGTTGATCTTAACTTCCGGACACAATCTTCCATTCAGGATTGTTTACCGCACAGGATTTCCGCCATGCCATCTGGTGCGAAATGGGTTTTGTCCATCAGAGTGGATTCCACCCAGTTTGCAAAAGGCCGCCCTTGAAACTCAGCCAGCAGACGGCGCCTTGATTTCCAGTGCAGTGGAGCAACAGACTGTGCTGAGACGTTTGAAGGGTTTTGCACTAAAATCTGGCCTTAAGGTGTCCAATCGCCGCAAATTGATTGTGGTTGGCTCACGCGTTTTTCTTAGGGGTGGCCACCCAAACAAGGGGGGGTTCGTCTTGGTCCTCCTTTTAAAAGCACCAAAGAGGGGTACCATCAAAAAATGAGGCCCCCATACGTTTTAATGATTGGTGGGATGGGGGAAGCCGGGCGTCTCCCCAGCAACCACGGCCAATGGTGACTGGGTCCTATTGAAGGACCGGGGCACTTGGTGGGGCACTTGGTGGCGGCACTTGGTTGTCCTGCTGTTCACCCCTTTACCAACCTGGCGGATTGTTTGTTTTGTCTAACGCCCCGAACAGGAAGAGCTTTGTCGGAAATGGGACACGCCGTGGTAATCAACCAAGGCCTGGTTCATCCAGAGTTCCCATAAGGCGAGCGTGTAAACTGAGCATGGCAACCTGGCTTAATTTGCAAACCCATCAAACAGATGACTGACTCCCCACGTTGCTGCTCCAAGTAAGTGAGGTTGTTCGAACTCCAGGGTCAATTGGGGATGGTCCAACTGCAAATCGGATGCACTAGGTTAAACTCGCCTCCCCAATTTCTGATAACTGTCACTTTTTTGGTGAAGACCCTTTGAAGCGCATTGGATCCACTACTGTTCCTCGTTCTGTGGGAAACCAAGGGCGTGCCACGATTGAACCACTGCACTTTAAGCCCATGGGATCCATTATACCAGAAGGACTTAATGGATTGAAGGGTTACCGCTCAAAAGGCTGAGACATCAATCCGCTCCATCGGAAACTGGCGGAAGCTGGCCGCTTGCCGCTCAGGCCAGAAGCCGCAGCCACGAGGCCAGCCGGGCACCAGATGTCGGCGGGTCATGGGTATGAAGCCCTCAGAACAGCCGGAAGCTCCCAGGCCAGGCATCTGCAAATGGAGCCAAGCCTATTCCAAGCAAGGTCCCGGAAGCTTCCATGTTAGTCTGGGGCAAGCCTCAAGCTTTCCCAGAATCTCCGGGCTTGACCCATTCTTGGTTACAGGCCATTTGGGTTTGGTTAGCTTACAAGGTCACCGTTTGGTGCGATCGTTTGTGTTTATCCCTGGTGTCATATGTCGAAAGGTTGAATATGATTGTACTACAGGGCAACCGGCCGGAAAGTGAGACAGAATCTTTAGGAAGGGATTCTGTTCATAGCTTCTTGCTAGACCAAAATCTACTTCTTGTATTCTTTGGAGATTCTGCTCCTATAAGCAACCCTTTGAATCACACACGCAACCAACCAGTCTGACAATCGCCGACTCGCAAGCTGCTTTAGGGATTCGTTCTCAGAACTGGGGCTGGATTTTGCATGCTATCAATTGAGACTGTCCACCATTTGCCAACAACCTCGCTCGTTGTTTGAAGCCTTGCCAAAACCAACAACCAGTCATTGATCCATCGTTGATTTGGTGAAGTTCAATGAAAAGGGTCCTTTTGCTGAGCCCGCGTCAGGCCTTTCAAGCCTGACAAGACTCCTTGAGCAGCAGTTTTGTGTTTTTGCCGGTAGGACCAAGATTGTTCCTGCTGTGGAAACAGTGGCGGTTCCTCAATTCTTCGGGCTGCATCAACCACATCAGCTCTTTCAATGAACAAGTTGCATGGGAGGTCGACGTTTGTGCCTGATGACGAGCTTAGAGCCGGCACGAGCTTACTTCTCTTGAGCCTGAATACTTTTGTTTCTCCTTTTTCTTCTCGGATTTCCAAGCTGAAACGAGGGGATTTTAAATAGCAGATCTGCAAATAATTGACACAGATCATGGATCAGACCGCAAATGGTTCTCGGGGCAGAAAAGCTCGCCCACTTTCTGTGGGGCCTAAGTTTGTCCGACCTCCGTTTCACTTGTTGGTGCGCGAGCCCCGAGAAACGACTGCCTGGAGTCTCCATGACCCGAATCAAAAATGGGGTCGTGACCCAAAATAATGGGGTCATGGACCCATTTTTCATTCGGGTCATGGAGAGAATTGAGGTGGGGTCGAAGCACACGAAGAGGTCGCCGCTTTCGTCATGTCGACGGAAGCTCCGACAGGATCGCCAGATCTCTGAGGACTGCTGTCTGCCTGTCTGCGGTCTCCTCGTGGGGCTTTTGGTACTGGGACTGTCTCTTTCTCTAGGCCGGGTCGAAATCAGCGGGTCTTTTTGGGACGGAACTCAAGTGTGGTTGGTTTTAAAGGGGAACCTAGGGAACCTGAGTCCCATTTTGAGGCTCATGGGACAAACCTGAATGGGCGTGATACTATCTGCCATCATATGTATGTGAGTCAGTGTGTGTGTGTGTGTGTGTGTCAAATTAGTGATTTCTTCCTCTAGACTTGCATAGTTCCAAGCATTTCATCAGGCAAGTTGCGGCTCCAGCCAAGTCAAGTGGCTTTTCGCCATCACCATGTCCTTCTGATTCTCCTTCTGCGAGCGTTGCCGTTGGCCCACGGCGGCCTTGCTTCGCGCCGGGAGTTTTGCTGGATATGTTTCGAAGAATCGTACCCCCAACATCCCAAGTAGCTGCGAGCAGAGACCCCACAACTTTCAGTCAGCTGCAACAAACAACGCGGACAAAGGGGGAGCAGTCTAAAGGTGACCACCTTCTATTCCAGGTTCTTTGGGCAAGGTGAGAATCACATCCAATTCCATTTATTCCGGTACCCGAAGTCCAAAACCATTCCGAAGCCAAACTCCCTCACCAGTTTGCTCACCGCGCTTCCTTTGTTTCCCTGAAGGCTTTGGGTTTTCTCTTCTTCTTCTTTTTCTCTCTGTCTCTCTCTCTCTCTCTCTCTCTCTCTGGCTCTGCCCAGGTTTGGATCTCCAAAAGATTGGGTTGCAGAACATCGTTGGGTTCCATTCTGCCGGTGTCCACCGTTGAGCATCAGTGTGCAAGTAAATGGCACCTGTGCCTCCATTTTGTTCGTCCTCTCCTTTTTCCATTTTTGGTGGTTGTCCTTTTGGTTTCCCTTGCAAGCCACAAAAACAGGGTTGGCACCAACTCCAAAAATGACGGTCACCGACTTGCGCCAACTCGGGCAGAAGGAGTCCGCTGACCAGGCGGGAGGGGATTGGCTTGGTCCGATGTTTTTTTGGTAACTGCCAACTGACTAATGTTGACCCAACATCGATCAACCTCAGTTTATCGGGGGGTCCCTGATTTTAGTGTGGAATCAGACCACTCTTGGAGGGGCCCTCACCCCCCTATCAATAAACTGGGGTTGATGACTATGGGGTCAACATTGGGGGTACTGTTTTCCTGATTTGTCTTTCATGAGGGGGAAGGTTATCAACAATTATTAAGCAGGGGTCAGCATGAAGCTATGAACCGGCAGGATATCATGTTCCCCGTCCACAAATGAGAGGAAATCCAGCTAAAGGCGCTTAGATAATTGGCAGTCTTTGGACAGCTATATCAGAGGTTCATTCAGGGCATTTTGGGAAGAGTCCCAAAATGGGACCCCCCCCCCCCCCTCAAAACACGGGACCCCCCCCAAAAAGAAAACACGGGGCTGCTACCTACGGTTTGGTTACATGGATGGTTTGCCCTGGCAAGCCGAAGCGACTTGCCCTTCGTTGCACGGAGCGCAGGCCGCGCTACGGAGCGAGGAGCTAGATGAGCTGCTGCGTTCCGATCTTAGTGCTAGAAAACGGTTTGGGTTTTGCGTTTTTTCTTGGTGGATTTTAGTTTGGGTTCTTTAGATTGGGTTTAGTTTGGGTTCTTTAGTTTTTTTTTTTAGTCTTTTTTTTTTTTTTTTAAATAGTTTGGGTTTAGATTTCACCGGTTCTTCTTTTTTAGCACTCCTTTAGTACTCTTTTCATATTCTACAGGTTGGTGGGTCTCCACAGATTGGCCATCTCCAAACTTTTTTCAGATGAGCGAATCCGGGGTTCCGGACCCGCGAAAGCGCCTTACCAGGAGCTACCCGGAGTTCTGTAAGGACATGTTTTTTTAGCTTGCGTGAGCCAGAGAGATCCTTGAAAACCCAGAACCCCCGGCTTGCCTTCGTCCGGAACCGGTTCAGGACCTGGTTGCATGTAAAGCCAGAGACGTTGGAAAGCGGCCCATGACCAAATCGAAGGTCGGGTGGGTTGGCCATGGCGGAAAAAAAGGGGTGTGCCATTATTTTGAGGGACCCCCCCCCCAAAAAAAAAGGCATCGGTTTTCCTCACGGTGTCCCTTTAAACCAACCAGAAAAGGGGCACCAACTGCAAAACGACAGGCCACCCATATTGTGCCTGCTGGGTCTCTCTGGAGACCGCGACCCTTGACCATACTGGTTTCCGTAGAGGACTTCAAAACTTGTGGGTCATCCAGGCGACTTGTGGCCGTTTTTTTCGACCTTCTCCTTTTAAGGGGGTGGGCTGGCTCCTTTGAAGTGAACGACTAAAAAACAAAGTGCCAAGCTTGTTTTCGTCCCGCGGAAATCCACCAAGGATCTGGGGTAAACAGAAGATGCAGCTGACATTATCTGACCAATGGAAGTGGCCTCAGGCTGCTTCGGGCGATGGTTTGTCGGGCTGCTCAGCCGCTTTGCAAGATGAGATGCTTGGCTGATGCGTCGGGATGTTCAAACCATGGTCATGTTGGGATAACTGGGGTTGGCTGGCCTATAACCAGATTAAAGTCTATTAATCGTGTGTGTGTGTGTGTGTGTGTATGTCCAGTTTGGGCCCTTTTTGTTTTCTGCCTTTCACGCATTAAAAGCAGTGTATACAGGCAGAAGACAGGGGTTGTTTGGGGGGTCAGGTAAGGAAACCAAAAGGCTGCAAGGACACCATCTTTGGGGTGTGGGGTTCCACTTCGAGAAACTGGAAGTTGGTTGCAAACAGGTTGATCTGGTCAGACCTACACTTCGGAGAGACTAGCCTAGGAGTAGTGCTCTTCTGGGACTGGGGAGGTAAGGGTTGGGGACGTGGAGTCTTCCCTCTTACCCAATTTGACTGCCTGCACTCGAAAAAACTACCACTTAAAAAAAGACATCGCCCCATACTGTTGGGGCAATTGCCACTTTTTAAGGGTATTTTGAGGGTTCAGGTATGGATGTTAGTTGGGAATACCCCCAATGGTTGGTGGACATGGATCTTCGAATGCTGATGCCAGAGTCCGGGACCCATTAAAATTCACGCCTATCTGTTGTCCCAAAATGCTGTCCTTTGGGTTTCACTGCCCCCAGGAGGGCTTCCCTGAAACGAAGCACCCGAAGTGCTTGGATCCAAGAAGGACCCCCTTTTTAAGCAAGCATTGGCACAGTTAGAGGGATGCCGATACTTTCCCCGAACAAGGATTTGAAGGGCAAGCCACCAGTCCACCTGGAAAGAGCTCATGCTCGGCCTGGACGGGCATCAAAATGCTTCATTTTGCCGTATGCTGTGGAAGTGCAAACTCGACACATGTGTTTAATCCTACGCAACGCGCACACTTACCGGTTTCCATTTTCAAAATGACATGCTATCGCACGGCATGGTTCGCTTCTTGCGGGGGTAGGGCTGCAATGAAATAGGCCATGAGAAAGAGAAACACCGACCGAAGGTTTAGCTGCGGCAGACTTCTCGTTTCCAGGGCTGATATGTTTTTCTTCGTTTTTTTTTTTGAAGAATCACACGTGGATTTGCGAAGAGCAGATCCTTGGCAATTTCGCTGTCTTTCGCAATTTCCGTGACTGGATTACAAGATGCCAAGACCAGAACTGGTCAACGAGGACTGCTGCTTGATGAGTAGCTGGTGGCTGATTTGAGAAGTGGCAGGGTTATGAGACTTTGGTGATTGGTCTCACTTCTGTGCTTTCCAGGGCCAATTCTGGGGTGACTGTTTTGGAGGGTCCCGGGTGTCCCGAACTCTTTGGCTCATTCGTGTCAGGTCTGGGAGTCGAGCACCAAAGCCGCCGAGCCGGGAGACCTGGGGTGCCCGGGGCACGGCACGGCTCGACAAAGCTTTTGTGTTACGCAGTGATAACGAAGAATGTGGGCCCCGGATGAATAGCTAGGTCACCCAGTAGTGCCCTTTTACCGCTCTTTTACCGTTTCTTTTTTGGTTGGGAGGTTCCTCTACTAAAGTAGACTCCAGAAAAAAGGGTACCCTTGTTCTAACCTCTCTACTGGAGGACCTAGATAAACAGTTTGTTTTTTTCCGCAACATCTGAAAGCTTTGGGGTCTCAGCCCAGATAGGCTCCGGGGTGGTCCGGGGCGGCCCTGAAGTAAGGTTCCACGAGGGCACCAGGGTTCCACCAGGGTTCCACCAGGGTTCCATCAGGGTTCTACCAGGGTTCCTCGAGGTTTTGCGAGGGCTTCGGGGTGGTGCGAGCACTAAAAAAGAGCACCGCATGCTCTTGGGGATATCACCTGAGCTTATTTAATAGGGGGCGGTTATCCCTTCCAATAGTGACCCCTCACGAATTTTATAGGGGGTTGTTATCCCTGCGAATTGTGACTGCCCATGAAACAGGGGTCACCCTCTATTCATGAAGCAGGTTTATGAGCATCCTTCGGAAACCTGTCATAGTGAACCTTCTGGAGAGCGTGGGACAATTATAAAATATTGCGGGGAAGAGATTGGGTATGTCTCTACATGGTGTCCTTCCTGGAAACAGAAAGCGATGCCAGTCGTTCGGGGCAGCTTGCAACTAGCACTGTTTATCACAGCCGAATCGGTGTCGTCGGACTCCACGTGTGGGGTTTCAGTTGAGCTATTGGTCCCTTCCAGACTGACTTGTCTTACACCCGGGCAAGCTAACCGTTACCCCTCCCCACACATATCTGCTGAGGGTTTTTTGGGAGATCGTTTTCGAAGGGATGCCACTTTGGGGTTCCAGAATATGGGTAATATACGGTATATGTAACTTGTCTTACACCCGGGCAAGCTACCCGCCCCACACATATCTGCTGAGGTTTTTTGGGAGATCGTTTCCGAAGGGACGCCACTTTGGGGTTTCATATGGGTATACGTACATCAAGTGTTGGTGGGGATTCATCCAGCAACAACTTCTGTGGTTCCCTCTTGGAATTTGGAGCCATATCTCAGGAGCTCTCTCGGTGCAACAAGAGGGTTGCAGCCTCGCAGGTCGGGAAGCCCTTCCATTTCGGGTGCTTCCCAGACAAATTGTTTAGAGCCTTTCTGGAATCCCAACTGTCCCAGTCGTTCCGGTCATGACCCCAGCTATGAGATGGTCAGCGCTAGTTTCTGGGTAACCGGCTGGCGAAATCCTTTTCGAGGCTGATTTTCAAGGAGTCTCTTGACACTCTCTAAAAGAAGGAGAGAAGCATCTTTTGAGGCCAGCGGCTTACTGGTTTTTTTACAGGGCAACTAGTTCCCCCAGTAGTGCCCTTTTACCCTTTTTTGGGGAGGGTTCCCCTACTGAAATAGACTACAGGAAAAAGGGGAACCCTTATTCTAACCTCTCTACTGGAGGACCTAGGAAACCAACAATTGGAGGCCGAAGCGCCATTTCGAGGTTGGCATTTTGAGACAACCCACGGCATCCATTTCGAGCTGCAGTGCCCAGGATGGCTCTGAGTCCCTTCGATGAGCCACCGCAGGCGGTTCTTTTCGGAGGGACGGGGGGTTCGCCAAGTGGCACGGGTTTTTGGGTTGCCTTGAATGGAAGCCAGAGGGAAACAACTTTTTTTTGACAAAATCAACGGAACAGATGGACACCAAGCGTGGAAACCAAGAAACATCAACATTTGTTTGGTTGATTTGGATAAAACCAACGGAACAGCACCTGACTTGTGAGAAGCGGTACCGTTTGGCTGTTGCTGCCATCCTTCCTTGAGCCATCCAGGCTCGGGAACAATCCAAAACGAGAGAGCGAGAGTCCTTGGAAAGGGGGTGCAGAGTGGCACCCTATGTTCCTTTGAAGGTGCCCCTGTTTCAATCCAATAATTTCCGGGCCGCCATCTTAGGCTTATTCAAGTGGGCAACCCGAAATCGGACTCGTGTTTCTCCGGAACCCAAATTCTGAGAACCTGCCTGTTGCGTAAAGTCGCCCGGGCTCAACCCCCAACCAATCAAGGTAATATAGGGGCAAAATGAATACTAACAGTTTACCCCCCCCCCCCCCCACAGTCATGACTATGTTTGGGCTAACGTTCTAATTTTGCAGGCTCATAGGCGTGCCGCTTTGTAGCGGGACCACCAACTTTGGTGGTGGCCCTCTTGCTTTTTCCTTTGAAACCACCCCCAAGAAAGGGTCCCGAGCCTCACAAAAACACGCATACGGGTATGGGTCAAAATTAAACCACCAGGGGACCAGGTTTTGGTTCATGGTTCCATTTGGGGTACTTTTTTTTGACCCACAGCCATATCTCTTTTTGTCGGGAAGTTTGAAGATCATCTTGGAGGTTTAAAGCCCAAAACGTGGAAGCGGCGACTCCACTTCGGTGAGGTACCGCCGGGGGAGGAGGCTTGGAAGCGCTCTGGCCCCAGGGTCGACGGGTTGACGGCTCCGTGTGGCACAAGGACTCCATGACTTCCCATTTGCGAAGTTGCTATCGTGGTTATTGTGACTAGGCCCCGGTAGTGCCCTTTTACCTTTTTTTTTGGGAGGGGGAACCCTACTAAATAATCTACAGAAAAAGGGTACCCTTATTCTAACCTCTCTACTGGAGGACCTAGATGAATAATAGACATGTTGCTGTCACTATCACTATCAGTAATAGTATTATTGTTATTGAGAAGAATCATCATTAACTAAGTTTGATTAGTATCATTGATTTTAATTTGTATATTTCCCTGGTTGGTTTTAGAGGGAACACTTTTGCTGGAATGAATACATGTGTTGTTTCCCTTTGGTTTTGAAGGAAAGCTATCACTATAGACATAAATATGTTTTCATGTTTGTTTCAGGCGAAGAACGCACATGAAAGGATAGAGAGTTTGTCGAAATGGTTGGCGCCCCCCTCGTTTTTTTTGTTGATGTTTTTTTTGTTCTCCGTTTGGTTTTCCATTTTCCTTCGGGCTGGCCTGAAAAGGGCACCCTCAACGGAAAAATAAGTATAACAAAACATAACACACACACACACAAGCCCGTACGAGCAGCTGGCAAAATCACCGGCAGTCGACTGTTCCTTTGGGGAGGACGAGAAGGGCCGCGCAAGTTTACTGCGAAACCCCGGGGCCTCAATCAGATAGCAGGAGTTTCCTTTTGAAACCATCCCCAAGACGAGCTGCAGCCGGTGTATCCAGGCGGGCTTGGTTCCTTTTGGAACCCCCCCCCCCCCGGCAAAATGGGTGCTTTTGCCTTTGGTTTCCTTTTGAAACCACCTTTGGTGGGGATCTGTTTAAACCACCCAGGCTTGCGAACAGTTGGACGTCGGGGCGGACCCAAAAGCTTTTGGGATGGCTTGAACGGGAACCGGAGGCTTCCGAGCTGCACGTTTCCCTTGTGCGAATCCTTTCGAAGGAAAATGAGAACCTCCGGTTGAGCACTTCTTTTTGAGGGTTGCATCCTTGGCGGGGCCTGTGTTTGGGCTGATTCTTAGGGGCAGCCAAAAGGGAAGAACTTGGAAGAGTAACTGCAGTAGACGCTTCGTGTTCTTTCGTTGCTCTCTCATTTCTGAGTTCCGTAAAGTTCAACCCATCATTTCCTTGAGGATGTCAAAGTTGATGAGCCTTTCTTCAGGGGGTTTCTATTTGATGGCAAGAAACAAATATGCGTGTGTGCCATCCATTCGGACCCTTTTGGGATTCTTCATCCGGAAAATTCCCCATCCCCGCCCAGCAGGGTCGATCTTCCTGCCTGGAGCGAGCCGCGGGTCCCGCTGAGGACTGGGGCCAAAGATCAAGAATTACCTCCAAGGCGCGTCGATCCAAGCAGAATTGAAGCCGAGAAAAAAATTGTTCAGGTTCGATCTCCTGTTGGTGTGATTCACTGTATCAATGCATATATATATACACATAATACTATATCGCAATATTATATGTATAATACATACATTAAGTTTTTTGGATTTGATGATCCAACATGGGTCCGTTTGCCAATCTGCCAAATTGTCTCCCTTGGTTTGCATGTCAACCAACAAGAGAACCCTCAGAAACGAGCAAATTGAGTCTTCATTGCACTTATGAGCGTGAACACGCGGGAGGTTGGGAACAAGCAGTCCACTTTGGGGGGGAACCACCCGTCACCTTTTGCATCAGGTCTTACGGATGCCGCCAGGGCCACAGGGCTTCCGGAAGGCACCGTGGAGGTTGGTCTTTGTGTGGCTAGCAGGGGACTGTTGTCTTGTCCTGCTTTCCCCTGAAAACAAATCCGCCACAAAGGGTACACACCAAACAACTCACCGGGCTTTTCTCTCCAGCAGGGGGGTCCTTTTGCCACCTTTTGTGAGACAATTGACGACCCCCTTGAAAATGAATCCTTCACTACGAGGGGGTCAAACAAGTTTCCACAGGTGGCGTTCCAGACTCCCCTGGTTAAAAGGGAGGTGGCTGACGGGGTGATATCTTCTTTTTTGCCATCCACTGTGATGTATAGATGGAATGGTCAATGTCGACCATTCAGTTGGAAAATGAAGGTACTCCCACTGAATGGGTCTTTCTTTCAATGGTTTGTGTACCCTTTTTGGGATAGTTGTTCTTGGGAAACCAAGCCTAAGAAGTATCACCAGGAACTGCCCCCAAAACCAAAGACATGAAAAAACCAAAGGTGAACGCACCCAGGTGCAATCCTTGCTGGAGGAGCTGGAATGCGAGAAGACCTTCTACAACGAGGCATTCGCTGTAGCCCCCCACTGATGGGTTTGTGTGGTGTGTGTGTGTGCGCGTCGTTTTTGAGAAGAAGCAGTGCTTTCAAGAGAAACTAAAGGAACGGCATTTTGTAGGCCTGTTCCATACATTGTCATCTTAGTGAGAAAATCACCTCTTTGCCATCAGGTGGTGTGGTCGACTTGCTTGGCTGTTTTCGCGCAAATGGTTGGCCGTAGTGCCTCGACCCTCTCAATTGCGAACGCCGATTTTGATGAATTGCATGCATCTCCGATTTGAGACCACATGGCCCTTCGATTCTCTTGGTTGAAAATGGAGGGGCACCTCTTGAGGGTTTCTACAGGTGACGGTTTCTACACCTTTATCCCACAAGGACACCAAGGGCACTTCATGTGGGCAGATTGCAAGGAGTTTTTTTGGGTTGGTGTTGCAACTCTTTGAGTTTTGGGGACGACATTGGAGGGCCAAGGGGTGGTTTTCAATATGACCCTAATGGCTCGATATAGAGGATGAACTAAAATGGATAGATTTAACTAGATACAGATATAGTTCAACTATATTTACAATTCTGGTTGATATGTTTTCTAGTTATGATCTAGTTTAATATTCCAGTAGCAAAAAAAGGGTGTGTTTTCCCGTTGAGGGCACCTTTCCTGAACGGAAGCCCGCGGGTGTCCCCGGAGCCCATTTTCGGAGGTCCTGAGCCCAGGTGTGCCATGGAGAAATTTGTTTGGGCTCTGCTGTCATCAAGCCTAGGGATTTTAGAGAACCAGGTGCAAGGGTTGTGTGTTTTGGGAACCATGACCATCTGCATATTTTATGGCAAGCTCACCGGGGGGGGTGAATCCAGCCTTTGAAATTTTTAGCATGTGTTTGTTTTTTTGCCAGATGACCATGCCCTTTTGACAATGCCCCACATAAGTTTTGACTACGGCACAATCAACAATCCAGGCAGATGACGGGTAGAAAGGGACAATCCATAAATTCGGCGCAGATATCCGCCCTGTTAGTTCTTTACCCGGTTTTTAACAGGGATCTATCACCGGCACTATTTCCGCATTTGGTCCAGGACACGAGACACGCAAATGGAAGCATCCCTTTTCGGGTACGCCTTCGGTGGTTTGGATTGGTTTGGATTTGGATTTGCACCCTAAGTCCCTAAGGGAAGGTCGCCCAAGGTCCAAGCCAAGCCACCGCCTGGGGTTTGTGGTGTCCGTTGAACAACTCCCATTTGGATGCGATTCTTCTTTTTTGGGATTTGGACCCCCCAACAATGGGTTTCGGTTTTGCCTTTGGCTTCCGTTTAAAGAGCTGCCAAAACGGGTACCAAGCCTCAAACAAACACACGTGGACCCTCAAACTGCCCATAAAAGGGGAGATTCACCCCATTTCGGGTTGCCAGAACCCATTTGTATGTCGGAATTTCGTAGTCAGGTGACATGTTCGTCGCACCTCCCTTTTGGTTGTCGTGGATTTCGGTTTTTTCGCCTGGGGCTTCCCCTAGACCCCTAGACCAACAAGCACGGAGCCACCGAGCCGAAAGAATCCGGATGCCATGGATCTCATGGATCCCATGGATCGATCCCAGCGGCCGTTTGGGAGGCCTGGGTGGCCTTCGGCCTCAGCTCGCACCTGCAAACCGCCGCCAGCGCCATGGTGGCGGCGGCCCGGGGGCCCGGAGCAGGATCTCGGGGACGGGACACCCCGGCGACCTGAGGCGAGGAAGGGACCCACGGAGGTCCCGTGGGTTTCTTAAGCAAACCAGCCTGAAAAGGGACCCAACAGGGTGGATGTGCTGCCGGTTTGCGTAAGCAGGCCTGAGAAAAGGTACCAAGCCACGAAACACAACGCACACCATGGGTTTGGCGGGTTTTGTGGGGAGGGCAGCCTCTTTGCCAAATTTGACGCCTTCCCTCTGGGGTTCCTTCAGTTTCCGCCGCCTTGCTCGAGTCTCAGTCTGACCAAGCCCAGGCAAACAATCCTCAGTTCGGGGGGAGATCGACTCGTTTTTCCGTGGATTTTGTGTTAGTCACCGCTCACAGCCAATGGTGAAGTCTTCTTGCAAGAGTAAACCATGGGGGTAACCTCAAAGTTAGTGTTCCCGTCGCTTTCTTGATGCCAAACAATCCATGTGCAAGATTCACCCACATTTACCCTCCTGCGTCAAATGTTGGTACATCTTACCCGCACTCGGATTCCTGGACCCCATTTTCCTGCCTGCACTCCTTTTGTATAGGTCCAAGGCAGCAAAAACCGGGATTTTCGGCCCCTTTCCGGGGGTGGTAGTCCCGGTCGCCCGGTGGCACGCGGTTTTTTTTTGAGGTGCGACCCCGGGTGGAACGCCTCCTGTCAGGCGTCTGGCCGACAGCTCGGGCGCCCAGAGGGGGAGAGGTTCGGGCGATCAGCGCCCTGGGCACTGCTGGGTGAGCGTGCCCCAAAAAAGAATATATTTTTTTGGAGGAGAGTAAACACCAAAGAATCACGGAAGCTGTTTTTGGAGGGGTTTTGGAACATTGAAAAAGGCGGCTCCTTCTGCCCCTTCAAACATGGCTCTATTTTTTGCAACACCATTTTTAGAGGGTCAGATTGACTGTCCTTGGCTGATTTCTGAGTCGCGAGTTGCGGAGCAGTGCAGCCTCCCTAGCTAGTACCTTCGAGACGAAGCCCATAAGGCGATCGATCCAGTGGTTTTTGTGGCGGGAATTCGGAAGTACCCATAGCATCGAAATAACATGTAAAGGCACCGGGTCGCGACATAGGTGTCCTTTTTAGGTGAGCCTGGTTAAAAATCGATGGCCATATATCTATTTTTCCGAAACGCCACCTATGGCCCCGAATGTCATGTTCCATGTCAGGCGGGAGGGTAGTGGGAGCGCTGCACCCACGCCCAAGACCGCCGAAAACCGTTCGTCGGTGGGACGGCCATTGCAGGAGCCCCCGGTGCTGGAAGTGCCCCCGGGCGGTGGGCGCTTGATTCAAGTCTTGGAGGCGAACGAGAGCGCTGGTGACGGTGGTTTTTTTCTTTTGGGCTGGTTTCAAAGAACAAATGAACATGAACAATATGCTGTGTGTGTGTGTGTGTTTTTGCGGAGATCCTTTTTGGGGGGTTGGTGTGAAAGAAAAAACATCCTCGCTGAAAGGGGAGTGCCCCAGGCATCACTAGCATCACCAACATCACCAGCAAGTGTTTTGCGCATTTGTGACTGCTCCGCCAATGCATAGGCTCTTACATGTTCACTTGCAGACGTATACAATTGTGCATAAGTTCTTTGCACAATGTGGCATCGTACTGCTCGGCATCATGACTACTGGAGAGAGAGGGACCAGCTTTGGAACTTCCTACCATCACGCTGTGCGCGGGTGCGTGCATGCACGCTTGCGTGGGTGTGTGCTGAAATTGCGCGGAGTTTTTCCTGTGTGTGAGTGTGTGCTAGTGACACTAATCTACCCTGACCGATAGTTTTTGATAGGTTCTGATGTCAATTCTTTGTCTAAACTCTCGCTTCCCCAGTTTCTACCTGGAGTCTCCATGACTCTTTAACAATGAGTCCATGACCCATTTGTTTAAGGGTCAGAAGGAGACTCCAGGTACATGTTTACCTTCTTCCTGCCTTCTTTTTCGGGCTTCTGCAGCACTAATGGGTTTTCCATTCAACCACGTTAAACTTTTAGCAGGGGAGCAGAAAGCAACCGAGAGTAGATGAACAGAGGGAGCCCCCCAAACTTCAAACACATTAACAGCCAGGCCTTGGACAGAGAGGCCAGCCGTGCCCGGGACAAGGCAGGAGTCGGAAGTCGATCAGGAAAGGGACTGGGGTTGGCCACATGTACGTGACATGGCCATGGGTCAAAAATACGGTTAGCCCCCAGTGAACATCCCAATCCCCACTAAAATAGGTTCCAACATGGGTGGTGAATTCACCTACCCCAAAATGGTATCATTTGTTTGACCCACAGCCATATGTGGGCGAGAATGTTTACCTCCCTTCCATTTGGTTAAGAATATGTTTTAATTTTCCCCTGGTGGTTTTCAAGGGAATCTATCACTACTGGAATATGTTTATTTGTTCCACCGGACTTGAGCAAATGGAGGTTCCGTATTCTCAGAATTGGATAATCTCTTGTGCATGTCTACCAAGGAGTCCCCCAATGAAACCCACTGCACTTGAGCAGGGGCAAAAAAACCGATCGAGCATTTTAGTGGATTGTTCTACGATTTCGTTTCATGGAATAGACATGTTGGCAAGACAAGGAGCTAAAACGCTAGACTCAAGTTGTGAGGTACTTTCACAAATGAAGGAGAGTAATGTGTGTAATTATGTTGCCGGTTGTATTGCGAAAGTCAATGGGTTTGCAGAAGCACCGAAAGTTAAGAAAAGGCGAACATCGACAGACCTCCTGGACCCCAGTTTGGGGTTGCCTCTTTCCTCTGCTTTTGACCCATAAAGGGGTAAGGCAGACAAACGGGTTGCAAACTCGGAGTCCAGTCTGACAAACGTACAGGTCATTCACAGCAAGAGCGCCGTGTGTTTCGGGGTCTCCACTGCTCACTTGATCAGCTTCTCACGTTTGAGGCGCGCCCGACGGACGTGCCCTTGGTGGACATTCTGGTGCCGCACGTGGCCGCTCGGAGCGAAGAACGCATTGGTTTCCCTTGAAAACCCCCAAACCAGCCTCTCCAGCCGCACCCCCCCCAAAAACAAAAGGAACACCACCCCACCCCACGCGCCTCGCTTCCCGCAACTGGCGCCTCGCGGCTCGCGGCTCGCGACTCGCGGCTCGCGACTCGCAGCTGAGACGGCGGCGCTGTCACACGGCCTGGAGACCTTGGACAAGGAGATCACCTCTCACGCGCTGGATGGCAGTGGGGGCGCCCAGCTTGCCCTCACGACTGCACGCAGGCCGCTGGACTTCAATGGACTGCATTTCCGTTTTCTTTTGTTTGGAGAAGGCCATTGAATTGACAGACAACAAGTCCAGACTTCGTGGGCCATGCCAGTCAAATGAAATCCAGCAGGATTCGGGATTGAGTGTTTTTCGGTGCGTTTGGTTAGTTTTGTTTTGATTTTATCAACACCCAACGTTCTTTGTACAGATCCCGTTCAGAATCTGGAGTCGTCAGGCTCTGGAGTGGTCCGGAGCAGCTCCAAGACAGGGTTCCGGGGATGTCTGCCATGGAGATACCGCCCGGGCTTATTGTTATTTGCTTGTGTCCTTTTTTTCCTTTTTTTGATTTTTTGGGGAGGGCCCTTCCTTTAGTGCAGGTTCATTTTTTTCTTTGCATGGATCATGACTTCCCGTGGATACCATTTTAACTCACTTTCTGGGTGGATTGGCCAGAACAAGTCCAAACTGCCGCTGGAGCTGGGTCCAGAGCCAAAACGTGACAAAAGTCTAGAGCTGATTATTCACATTCCTGCCCAACCATGACTGGTTTCTCACCCCTACTTTTGCAACTAGGGCTGCTTGGCCACTCACACCAATGAGGGTGCGTGTGTGTGTGTGTGACTTTATAGGCTGGGTAGCTTGTTTGGGGATATTTGGGTGTTATCCTCTTTGTGGACAAGCCCAGTGAGCAGCTTGAACCTGCAGCCTTGCACAACAATGCGTGTCTTGTCCTTCTAATCAAATAAACATCCTAAAAGAAGCATCACGAGTCACTTAAGGGTCTGGGGTCTTGATATAGAACTCCCAGGATTGCCAACGCCACACAAAGTGGTTCTTGTCTCAAAGGCATCTGTTCTTGTGTCTCAAAATAGGAAATGTTCCTCTAAGATGGTTGCTCTCCTATTGAGTTGTCTTTGAAACCCCTCCAACAGTTGTATCCTCATGCAGAAGAACACCTATTTCTCTGCACTGACTGTTTTGTTCCAGAGCGTTCGCAATGTCGCCCAAGGTTCACCAATTTACGCGTCTTATCCCTTAGAAAAAATGAGAAAGTATTTCCAGAAGGTGATATGTGTTTACAGCCAGGGGAAGATCAAACAGATCTGCAGCAAATGGACAAATAACCGGGCAACAGATTTGACCACCAAAATCCTCGCGGATTTCAGGCCCAGACCAGCTCTTTGTGCCGTTGCGCCCCCCAAGCTCCATCTTTTGCCAGGCGCTTTCGCGCGGTTGGTTAGCGGGCGCATGTCTTTTCCTGTGACAAGAAAATTCGGAATGGGGGCATCCTCTAAAGCTCTTGTTAAATGTTTTTAAGGGTGAATGTGAAGAATTGAGGATCAAGACAAATGAACTTAAAAGTACAACCGCAAGGAGGTTGGAGTTGATAAGAGGGACATGGCAATAATTTTCTCGCATGGTTCTCTCAACAAGTGTCTCCCCACGGCCACACAGGTAAGCCAAGGGTTTCAAGCCGGCCTTGGTTCCCTTACAATTCTCTAAACATGTGGCCTCGAATTGAATTAGGGAATATCGCCTCAAAAGTTGCCGGTGGACATACATCGCCATCGAATTCGGATGTCCACCAAAGGGTCCCCAATCAACACTCATTACCCATGTCTCCTGATGAAACCCAGGAGTCGTAAACCCTTGGTTGATTGACAGGCGGTACTGCGCGTTATAGAGGGGTCCTCTCTTGGAGGAAGCACTCCCTAGTATTCCGCGTACCAACCACGGCAGCAATAGGCCAAGGTGTTACAGCAAGGCTATGAGTTTTGACCCCTGGATTCTGGACAAGGTCCATCGAATGGAGCCCTACATTCGAGCTGGCACTTGCTAACGTTAGATACCGGGAGGGCCCAGTTTCGGCGGATGCGCAGCACGCCTGGCGACACTTTGGACTTGCCAAGACAGAGCATGGTAAAGAAAGCCCCACTAGTCTTCAAGGGCAGCGCCCAGAATTGCAAAGGTCTGCCGTGCTGCCCAGAAAAATGAACTGCACAGTCGTGTATACATATATACATGTTTCCTAAAGTTCTGGCTTGGGAATTCCTAGATTGGTGCTGCTGGGGATGTATTCATCAACTCTTTGTGGACTTGCCTGATCTGAGCCCCCAATTCTTCGGCAGTGGGCTTTCTTTTCCTGTTCCCAGCTGGGACTTGCTTTTCAGTTTTTTCCTACCGTTTGCTTTGTGAGTATTATGCCCCACTTGCTTCGCAGCATCGACCGGCCAACAAAGCAGGCCTTAATGTTAACCCCGGATTAATCAACCCCTGGTTGATTTTGATTGGCGGGACCACTTTTGGAGGGGTTTTCACCCCCCTAGGAATGGGACGGGTTCATGAATACCGTGCTTGCTAGCAAAATACGACCTTTCCCCAAAAATTGGCCCTTTTCTCGAAAACCAGGTTTTTGGAACCAACACCAGGTTTTTTGAATGGCCTACAAGAACGAAGGACAGGACTTACCTTTGAACTCGACCCGGTCGATCGCGGCGCAGGCAGTTGTGACGCTTTGGCGCTTCATCCATGACGCGCTGGATGCGCCGCTGAGCGCAAGCCTTGGAGTTGGATGGGTTGAGGGTACCCAGCGGGTCCCTTGGTACCTTCTAAGGAGGTACTGAACGACCCCTTTGTGCCCAGAAGCTATGCTTAGGAGGTACTTGGACCCTCTGGGTTAGAATCCCAAACCATTTTTCGCCCTTGTAGGTACCCAACTTAAGTTCCTCTTGTTTTGTTTTGGGTGGCCGGTGGCAATTGGTTGCCTAGCCAGGACAATGAAACTGGGGTACTTTCCTGTGGCGTCCAGCGCTCCTTTCAAGCAAGTTGCCGAACTGACACGCACCGCGCGTGCTGAATGTGGGGCTCAGGGATTTGGACCAGAATGATGATGGTTTGTCCTTTTGCCTTTGGTTTCCCTGGTGAACAGGGCATCCTCAAAAAACATAAACATCTTTGGTTTCCCTAAGTGAAAAGGTCCCTGGGTGAAAAGGGCATCAACAAAAACATCATAAACATGGAACTGAGTCGCTTGGATTTGGCTCAGGCAGCTTTGCAAGGCCCCTGGCTTGAAAGCCACGGTGCGCTCAGGTCTTGGGATCTCCGTCGACATGGTCACGGAGCCCTTCATGCGCTTTCTCAACGAGGCGCCTGTGTGGTTCCTTTTTTTCTCGGAAAACGGAGGGACCTTCCTGGCCTCGGCATTGGTTTCGTTTGGAGTTGTTTGTGTTCGAACTGGGTGTGTCTCTTCTGTTGGTACGCTCGTTTCTGGTTTTGAAGGGACACCTGAAAATGAGACCGAACCACCGCGCCCTGTTCGGGAAGGTGCGAAGGCTGGGTTCCTTCAAACGAGCATCTTCCAAGCCCCCATTTTTTTATTTATTTTTTAAATGATGGGGGCCGGTCCCGTCAAACACACTCATTTCGAGGGGAAAATTGTGGGCCGCGTTTTATTCCCCCTTTTGATTCCCCCGGTTGGTGTGATTAGACTGCGCCCACAGGTGTCCTTTTTGGTTGCTTTGGTGGAGAAATAGATGGGTTTCCCTGGTTTACCTGGTGGTTTACATCATCTACCAGGACCATCTATTTCCCCTAAAAGGACGCCTATGACTGTGCCCAAAAGCGAGCGATGGATCAATCGCCAGGTGCTGCACCGCAGCGGGGAGCGGCTGGTGCGCCCCTGCGAGCAGCGGGAAGCCTTCGGGACCTCTCGTCATTCGAGCCGTTCGTCGAGTCGGAGGGTTGAAGGCTCAGAGGCGACCTTGGTTCCCATAGGTCCTCAGAGGGTGTCAAGGGAAATGGGAAATGGGAAATGGGAAATGGGAAATGGGAGGGGTTTACTGTATCAAGGAAATGATTTTGGGAGGGGTTTCATTTGGAGGGGTTCTCAGAGAGCATCAAGGGAGAGGTTGATGGTTTTGGAGGGGTTTTAATGGGTCAAAGCATCTTCGAAGGAACCAAGAGACCACAGGGTAGGCCCATTGGCCTGGCGTCACTGACCCAAGATGTGCATAAACCGATGGTTGATTGACGGGTATAATAAAAGGCAGTGGTAAAAACTGCACGAACAGCAAGCTGTTCTGTTCTGGCCCTCCTGTATGCACATCTGTCTGGATGTATATGAACATATCGAAGTATTGTTCCACCTTTTTTTTTGGGGGGGTCTCCTCCAGAACTATTTTACACTTTGTCTACAGATTTGGGGTGAGTAATGGTGACTCAGGATCCAGCCCATGGTTGATTCTCGGAAGGCTGTTTTTATGGTCTGAACCTTCATTGGGCCGGGTTGGAATTTGTGGCTACAAGAAGGGGCATCCCAACTCATTGGCACCTCACCCCTTTGCAAGTGCCGAGTTTTATCCGTCGACAACTTTCAGAGGCCTGGAAGATTTAATTACTTTGCACATCAGAATGGAGCCCTAAATTTCTCCGCGACGCTCATGCTTGGAACATGCTCATGTCAATGGCCGGTGGACATAAATCCAACCTCGTAATTATGTATGTTCATAAAGGGATGCCCCATTCAGTTTCACACCCAACTGGCCACAGCCTGCCAATGAAAAGACCAACGAATGAGCACTTGTTTGGTTCCATGCCAATTTGCAGGGGAGAAACATAAGCTCCAGAATCCGGAGTGCCGTGAGAGGAGTCCCCTTAACATTAGCCAATTCGCCGCTGAAGGCCATGCGAAGTTGACATGTTCCAAATGCTCAATTTGCATTTCCAACGTTGCAGGATCGCCGTGCGAGGGGCGCAGATTGCGGAGCAGCTGAAGAACACCGGTTGCGCCATCTCGGACGAGGAGAACCTGACAATACTCTAGGAAGTCTACGGTTGGATTCGGGAGAGCGTCGGGGGCAACTCAAATTTCCCACAGAACACAAGAAGCGGGGGAGGAAATCCAACTTTCCAATTTCTTATTGGGGAAAAAACAGGAGAAGTTCTGACTGTTCATGAGGACTGCCGAGACGGATCGGAGGCATAGGCGCCCTGTTTGGGTTGGATGGTGACATAGATGGCGCTGGTGGCGCGCGGGCTGGTGGGCCGGTGGGCCCGTGGGCCCGTCAGATGTCACAGTAGCGGCGCAAGGAAGACGGAAGAGCATGGCAGCAAGCAGAGTTCCGCCTGGCCAACAGAGACTGGCCAGTCCCAGGAGAAGACCTTGAAGCCCTGGCCAAGCGAGTTGTCCAGTATTTCGACACCCCAAACATGACCCTACCCGTGTCTCCAGCTCCACACAGGCATCCCTGCCTGCTTGAAGACAGAAGCGGCCTGCCACTGTGGCCAGCCCGATGCGGCACTGGCTCCTCGCTGCAGCACGGGGCCATGGCACGTGGCTGTTTTAGCCGCCGCAAACCTCATGCTCGAAATCGCGAGTGGCTTGCATGAGGGCGAGCAAGCATTGCTGCGGAAGGAGCTGCAGATCGAGGTTCGCCGAGCCTCCAAGAACAGTCCATGCAAGCTTCGCTGACGCAGCGCAGCACCTGGCAGCTGCCTGTGAAGGCGGGCGTGTGCTAGTCAGTCAGTTCATGAGGTTCCAGCAGAAGGCCGGCGCTCTTCAGGCTGGAGCTTGCAGCTAACGGATGAGCAAGCACAGCTTTCCAGGGGTGTCCTGGACTGACTGCCCACCATCGCGGCAATTCAGTGGTATCAGTTGGAATCCACTGCCTGGATACATGCGACTGGATCACCTGGGCATGGGATGGAGAGACCTAGGGAGGCGTGGGAGAGGCGCGCAGCAGAGCTCAGCCCAGAACGTCCACAGCCACAAGCTAGAAGATTTCCAACAAACAAACATAAAGGTATGTCTCCAAGTGCGAAGTGGAACGCGGCTGGGAAGCTATTCAAACTTGAAATGCGTTGCTACAGTGGCCATTGTTGCAGCTGTTTGGGGAAGCTTTTCCTCAACAGTGGAGCTTCAGTCGTTTGCAAAGGCAACTCCCCTTGACCATAGTTCAAATCGACTTTGGAATTCGGGGTGAAAGCTTGTTCCTATTTCGCTTTCCGAACTCAGCGCGCGTGTTGTGGCAACAGTTGGGCTTTAGCCGGGGGCAACAGCAACTCCCTTTTAGATTGCGCTTTCGTTTTTCAACGCCCGGGCTGACTCTACCCCACTTTGCCGCAATAGAATCCGGAAATCTCTTTCACTTCACCCTGCGCACGCTGCGCATGCTGCGTTTTGTTGTTCACTTCTTGCCACTTCCGCTCTGAGTCAACGCATCCGTCAGTTTGTCGCACCGGTGCCCGTCATTTGGCCAAGGCCCGTGGGCTCCTGCTCGTGGGCCCGTGGCCGCAAAACAAGAGCACTTTCAAACTAAGGAGTTAAACGAGGGTGAGAGTAAAAAACATGGGTCTTTCAGATTGGGCTGCCCTTTTCACGACACCAAGAGGAAATCGCAAATCTTGATGGCCCTATTTGCCACATACCCATATTCAGCTTCCACTAATTCGTGGTTTGGATTCATGGTTCGGTGGCGAAGGGCATGTAATGGTGTGTCTCCCTTTGTTCCCTTCCGAGATGCTCAACAAAACGTGTGCATCAACTCAGCTCCCACTCCACCTCACCCAAGTCCCTTCCAAGCCACGCTTTTGGAGGAGGAGGGCGTCAGGGCGCCAGCGGGCGACGAGACCAAGCGCGCCCGTGGCAGGCCGATGGCTGGGCCGAGTGGTCTGCCAGGGGCCACCGGAACTATGAGCAAAGAAGCTTGTTGCCCCGCACAACCAGATGTGCCAAGGGGGAACCCCATTCTTTTTTCACGGTTTCGGGGTCCCCTGGTGGGTGCTAAGAAGCTAATATGTTTGAATCTACAACCAAGAAGGGACAGGTGGTAATTTGGTAACTTATGCTACTTCATTTCTTGCAGTCCGAGATATGGGCCAAGGCAAACCAATCTTAAAGCGGGCACCCCCCAATAATACGTTCACAAATCCGGTTGGGTCGTGTCTCTGAAAGTTGCAGCCCCTCAATTTTTGCCTTGATTGAACCCGCCAATGGTTGGTCACCCCGTTATTTTGGGGTAATGACCAGCTTTGGTTCATCAGGCAACCTCTGGCTTGGGGATTTGAACCCTTGGTGTTTGAGCATATGAAAAGCCACCCCTAGGCCCTAAACCACCAAAGCACCAATCAAAACCACTAATTATCGGGGATTTGGGTGGCCGGGGAGGGGAGCCCCGCCGGCTTGGAACTCCTCGCAGGGGCTCAAGAGGCAAATTTTGTTTGGAGAAATGTTTGCTTGCCCAGCTTCTTCTCCACTTGCCGCTGGCTTTGGCTTTGTAAGACCGTGTTTGAGTTTTCAGCGTTCCGCTGTTTTTCCTGTCAATGTGACTGTGTCTTGTGGTGTTCCTTTTGGCTCCCTTCAAGACCCCAAAGCCGGTATCCTCAAAAAAAACACATTCAATCTTGTTCCTGCCTCTTTTATTCAAAAGAAGAAAACAAGACTGATACCCTCAATACAGAGCCTCTTAGACCACCCCCCCCCCCCGCACCGAAGGCGAAGTAACGTGGGGCGCCCCTCTGCCCAGGGGCCGGCGGAAGTTCTTCACCCGGACCTCAGAGCGGAGCTTGGCGGAGGACCTCAGCAAGAACAGCATCATGGAGGCGCTGCTGGGGTTTTGATCCGTATATTCCAACCCCACTCACACCACCCACACCACCCCCTCCATCATCTCCATCCATTTCATCCACCCCACCCATCCCACCTACTTTGTTTACTTATTTACTTTTAGGGCCGCCCCCAGATTTGACCCTGGGTAGTTTTTTGTTCAACCATGCGGTTGATATATAGTGTTTTTCTATATTCCATTTCGGGCCGCCCAAATTTGGACCGGGTAGCTCTTTTCAACCATGCGCTTGCAATAATATTGTTTTTCCATATATTCCATTTAGGGCCCCAGTTTTGACCATGGGACAGAGGTCCGCATCTCTGCTGTTGAGGAAAGCATCCATAAAAACCCAAGGGGAAACAGCGAGCGCTTGTTGAAGGAAAAAACACGACGGTACGGTTGAAAAGAATGGTTGGAATCGACCCAGTCCAACAGGGATGGCAAAATTGGTAGCTTTCTTTGCAGGGCTCGGGTAGCCAAGGTGCCATCTTGGTGCATTTAGTTAGAGAGCTAGGCTGAGGTGGTTCTCCATCTGCCCAGGTGGCCATTTTGGTCTCCATTTTTGTGAGCCACAGCCACAGGGGGCAATTTGGCTGACGACCACAGACTTTGGCCAAACCGCGCCGGAAATGATTGGCGCGAGCGTTTTTTTGTTTTGTTTTTCTTTTTTTGAAGAGGACTGTTCCAAGAATTGGGGGTTGATCAGAAGGTCCTTGACGTAGAGCCAGAAGTTGGAAAACCGCCAAAAAGAAGAAGACTTCCACGTGGGAGTAGTTACCCATGATGATGATTATTGGCCCGAACGGAATCTCAATTGTTCAGTGGCACCCTTTTACCATTTTTTTTGGTGGCTGCCCCACTAAAAATGGTCTTTCCCAAAAAGGGTTCCCTTTTTTTCCAGGGTCACTGAACAACTGAGGAATATTGCTCAAGCCCATGCGGGCGGGTCTGGCAGTCGCTCGACCTTGCTCTCCAGGCAAAGCTGTTGGAGGTGAACAGTCAGGTGGTGGCACCATCTGTGCAGCAGGCCTCGGGAGACAGAGATATCTCGGGGGGTTGGGGGTTGGGGGTTGGGGGTTGGGGGTTGGGGGTTGAGGGTTGGTTTGCTTTTGGTTTTCTTTCAAAGCCAATCCAACAAGAGGATCTGAAACCCACTTTGAGAACGCTCAGAAAGGAATTATGCTATACCGGGCTAAAATCCAGCATGAGGTTGTGGAATACTTCAACAACAACTAAAGCCATAGTCACACGAGAATCATGTGTATTTGTTCAGCCCCTTATTTGACTGGGTCCCTGTTCAAAGGGACTCCTGGACTCCTGTTGTGTTTTTTAGTCACTCGAGACGTCAGGCAATCCTCGCAAGGTGGTTTTGGATTGGTTTGGGGATCTCAAGCCCTGTCTTTTGTAGAGGGGCATGGGAAGTTTCTACGGCACCAGTAAGCCGAATCGGCTCCAACCGAGGGAAGAGGAAGACGTTCGACCCATGGGAGGTCATGGTGCACCGAGTTGAGGTGGATCAATCATAGGGCCCATATGGGCCCATCTATTTTCCAAAAAGGGGCGCCTGTGCACTCCTGTGTGGTAGTAGGTTACGGCAAATTAGATGGCTTCCTTGTTCACTTGCTTAAGGTCATGACCTGGAGTCTCCATGACCCTTTGAAGAAAATGGGTTCATGACCCCATGATTTGGGGCAATGACCAGCCATTTTTTATTCGGTCAGAAGGAGACTCCAGGTATGCACTCCGGTCGTTGTTTTTGGGGGGTCCTTCGAGCCGTTCGAGCCATTCGAGCCGACTCCCACCTCGGCAGGTCATGGTCCGCTTGTCCTCCCTGGGCTTCTGCTGCGCCGAGCTGGCGGAGGTGCAGGGGAAGCTCTTCAAAATGGCGCGGGGCCTGGGTTCCGCTCGCAGCGGAACTGCCCGCCCGCTGGTTGGTTGAGTTTTTGGGGGTGGCTCGTCTTCTTGGTTGAGTGGTGGTACCCTCCCACCCGACGATTCCATGGAAGCCCCGAAATGGACCCCGAAGTGGAAGACTTAGTTCCATCTGCAGAGGCCTGGGAGCTTCCAGGTTAGTCTGAGGGAGTGACCCTCCCACCAGCTATCCTGGAAGTGCACAGACTGTAGAAAGACGACTTTGCTGTTGGTTAGTTGGCCTTTTTGCGCTTCCATGTTGGTTGGGTGGTTTTGAAGGGAAAGCCAAAGGACACCCGAAGCCATTTTTTGGGGGGGTTCCTCCAAAAACAAGACGCACCCATTTGAAGGCAATGATTTGGGGGTGCATTTTAACGGGTCCCTCTATTGGGATTCACTTCCACCACGTCTGGTTCGGTGGTTCCCTATGAACCTTGCCATTTGCCAGGGGATGCAGGTGCCACTTGCCGAGCGGCATTATCAGGTGCCACAGTGTTTTGTGCAACATGGGTATGTGGCACCATTTTGGGATAGGTGCACCACTCATCAGTGGTTGGATTGGGATGTTCACTGGGGGTACGATTTGGGTGTGGGTCAAAATACGACCACCAGGAATTGGACCGCGGGTTAAAAGGTCTTTGGTTCCATTTACCAGGGTCCCATTTTCGGTACGCATACAGCCACATGGTGGTCTACTGATTCGATGCAAAGACTGTTGGAGCCAAGAGGCACAGACAAAGCGAGATCAGGTCGTCTAGAGTCAACCGCAAATCCCGATGCAACTGAGGCGGTTGTTCTGCATAAAAAAAGGCGAGCGTATCTATTGATTTCTCTTTTGACACCATCTAGAAGGGGATCTTCAGTGCACACTTCAAGGAGTTCTTGGGGGCACATCCAAAAGGGGGCCCTGTCTCCAGATATTCAGCCCCATGCGCAACAGGTTGTTTGGGGGCTCTTTGGGGATTTCCAGGCACCCTGCTTGTGGTTCCCCCAAACGGATACCAACCACTCAAAAAGGGCTACCCTACTGCTGAACGCACCCATTTGTCGCGCGTGTGTCCTTTTTCACTCTTCTTGGCGCAGGTTTGTCAGCTTTTGTTTTTGCTTCCGTCCATTTTTTGATGGTGAGCTGCAAAGAACAACGTCTTGTTTTGCCAACATACCGAGGGTTGGAAAGTGCCGCGGATCCAGGTGGGATAAATGAAATCCTAGGAATACTGGGATACATCATGTTTTGCTTCGCCTCTTGCAGAACCCCTTTAACAAGTCTCCTGTCAAGACACATGTGTCTTTTTCGTCTTTCTCAAGACGCATCAGTATGGCCAAGCGTTCTTGTCATTTGCCTCATCTGACTCAGCGCAACCGCAACAGGTCAGGTAACCCTCAGTTGGTTTGGATTGGTGGTTTCGGGACTTGAGCCCCTCGTTCTTTGTAAACTAAATCAAACACCACCCCCCAACCTTTAAATCACCAATCCAAACCTAACACCCCCTACCCTCCACCTTCAAACCACCAATCCAAACCCATCCCTAGCCTTTCGACCACAAAATCCAAGCCACCAGTTGCAGGGAAGCTGCGCATTCCACGCGCCGCTTGCCGCGCCGCGGCTTTCCGCCTTGGGTCTGAGATCAACTCGGGGGACGACGTGGGCGTGCCAACGGCGCGCCACAACGAGGCGCGGATGCTGATCTGCGAGGACCGAATCACGAGACGGAGCGCGTTGCCGTCCGGGCCGCCGGTGAGGCCACGCCGATGCGTACCCAGATACCAAAAATGGAACCAAAAAGAGATTCCTCTCATCCAGGGCCCCCAAAACCATGTAAAGGGAGGTGTTTGTTCATGAAAAGCCCGGTTTTGCGCGGCAACAACGTTTCTTTTTCACTTGGTTTGCGGCCCCTGGATCATGGCTGTTGGGGTTGCATGCAACCCTTTTCGCGTTGGTTTGCAATGGTAAGGGGCTGCAAGAAGAACTATCCAAGATAGGAGGGAGGAAGGAAGGAAGGAAGGAAGGCAGGAAGGCAGGAAGGCAGGAAGGCAGGAAGGCAGGAAGGCAGGAAGGCACGAAGGCAGGCAGGCAGGAAGACAGGAAGGCAGGAAGGCAGGAAGGCAGGAAGGCAGGGAGGCAGGAAGGCAGGCAGGCAGGAAGGCAGGAAGGCAGGAAGGCAGGAAGGCAGGAAGGCAGGAAGGCAGGAAGGCAGGCAGGCAGGCAGGCAGGCAGGCAGGCAGGCAGGCAGGCAGGGAGGGAGGGAGGGAGGAGGAGGGGAGGAAGGAAGGGCGGGAGGAAAAACATGGGAGGAAGGAAAGAAAGCGAGAGAAAAGAAATGAGGAATGAACGCAGGAAGGAAGAGCAGTAGGAAATTCTCAGGAAGAAATGAGGCGGAGAGAAAGGGAAGCGAGCAGAGGGGGTCCCCAGTTTTGAGACAGAGCCCTATGGCTGGTTATCAAGGGGGTTATAACCAAGTGTATGACCAAATGCAGGCAGCCAAGTGGAAGATTGCTCTTCCATTCCTTTTGGCTGGGGTTCCTGAGGCACGGGCGTGAAGGTGTTTGTTATCAGACGGAGGTTTGGGCCTCTTGCACTGAGCAGAACCCTGATCCCTTTGCCCAACCTTCAGGCTATGGGGTCGATCCAAAAACCAAAAAGCGCTCCAAGGGTTTGGGGGGGTTTGGAAGGGTTCCGTGGGTCCCCGTGGCTTTGATGGGGACACCTGAAAAGGTTTTTTTAAACTTTTTTTTCAAAGACCAGTGTTTTTGGGGGGGTTTTATAGGGGATCCCCCCCTGGTTTCTATACCGTATACCCCTTTTCGGAAAAATGGGCCGTTTGACCAAAGGCGCCCCTGGATGGTGCTCTATTTGCTCCTTGGGTGCTGTTGGGGCAGTTCCTGGGGGCAATCCTGGGCCGTAGGAGCTGCCGGACTTGCAAGAGAGCCTGCTGCACCGGGGGCAGACCTTGGCCAGGCGGAGATCCGTTTTTCCACGCCGCGGCTGCGGGAAGGACGCGAGGGGAGCCATGAACATGTTTGTGCCCAGCACGGGATTGAGTTCGGGCCTTGAAACGACCTGGTTTTGAGACCCCCTACCACCTCCAAGTTGTCCAATGGAGGGCTCAAGTCTTCCATTGAAAGTTTGAGGAGCCTCTGGGTAGGGTGATTCACCTGGTGTTGCGAAGAGTTGGGTTACCCCCGCTTTGAAACAATGCCCAAGGCGTCCGCAGCATTTTGACGGAATCATCCTGGACCTGGGAGGGCATGGGTCAAAGCTCTCCTTCTTGGGAACATGAGGGATGGATCCAAAAAAACGCCCTTGGGAGATTTTCGACAAGTTGCCTTGGCTGCTGCAAGGGGCACCATGCCACTCTGAACAGCAGAACTCCTCGCTGAGGTTTGCTTGAGGTTGTTTTTGCTTGGACTCCTCACGGTGCTCAGAGTTCCTGGACTTTCGTCACTTCCTGGACATTTTGTTGGCCAATCCCCTTGATCGGGGAGTGAGGGCGTTCACCATCTTCGCCAGCTTGGGCCAAGTGTGGCCGGTTTGCGACAGGTACCTGGCAGCCCGCCACTCCGGCCTGTTTGAGGAGCACAGGCTTCGTCCTGTTTTAGGCATCGCCGGTTTGAACCTTTGCGGTGCCCAGACCCAGTCCTGAATTAGACTTTTAGAGATGTTGCGTTTGAAGGATTTATGACAAATCAATTAAATCCCACTGATAGCCTAACTTCAGCAAGGGTTCAACATACGAAGGCACCAATTAGAAGAGAGCTTCGGTTTGTGTGCCTTCCTAACCCAAGCGCTGAGTCGTGTGCGGTTTCTTGGGATTTGCAACCCTAGACCTTGGGCAGAATCAACTTGACCGCGCATCGGAGCGCAGTATGGGCCCGGGGTCCTTTTTTTTGGGGGGGGTGGCTACCTTTTTTTCCTGGTGTAAATGAGAGCCCAAGAAGGAACACCGAGGCTATTTGGGGCTCAACAAAATGACACACCCACATGACAGTTTTTTTGTTCCCCCCCCCCCCCCCCGTGGCAAGAAAAAAGAGAAGGAAAGGCAAGCAAGGACTGCAAGTGAAGGTCTCTACACTTGGACACCTCTTATGTCTCTTCCGGGGTTTCTTGGCTTTTTCAGCCTTGGTTGCATCACGTTCCAAAGCCAGTAGTATGGCTGTCTCGCAAGCGTTTGCAAGCAAAGTGGTGTGCAAGGGCAAGATGGGAGCCATGGTTGTCGCACCACCCAGGGCGCGGCTCGCCGTCAATTGTATGCGTTCCAAGCTTACGAGCAGGGGGATCAGTATTAAGCATAAAATGGTGAACCGAGCTTTTGGTTGGGCACTCGTTAAAGGGAATAGTACAAGAAAGCCTGATGTAGTCGCGCGCTCCTTGATTCTTCCAGTTGACCTTTCTTGCTGATCAGCCACTCAAATGTTTCGAGAATTCTCCCCCTTCTGCGATTGATCATTATTCATTATAGACTATATAGAGCTTAAGTTTCACTAAACATGGGACCAGAAGCAAGATACATCCTGGTTTAGATTGGTATTCTTACCCATGTGCCCATCTATTTTGCCAACAGGACACCTACTGTGGATGGACGAAATCGTGAATGATTCGATTCCCCTGTAAATACCAATGAACAATGGTTTCAACCATGGTTTCCAAGTGATGCGAAATGGATTTTGTCTATCCAATGGAAAAGGTCCGACGCATCCGCACGCCACTCGGCAGCCCAGGTCTCGTGTACCACGAGTTGCGCTCGGAGCATCTCGAAAAGCTTTAAGCTGGGTGGGAGGAAGCGTTGTGGTGCAGGGCGTCTAGGGGGGGCGGGGGTTACATAGGCTTTCATTTGGTGAATATTAAAATAAGCTCGGGCGATATCCCCAACAGCACCACACCCTCCCAGAATCCTTGCGGAACGCCCCGGGACCATCCTCCCTGATCGGGGCCCGACGGCGCAATCGGGGCCCGATCGGGGCCCGACGGTGCAATCGGGCGTGGTTCAACCCCAGCCACCCATATTATAGCTCAACGCCGGTTTTCCTTAGCATGCGGATTGCAACTGTATCTATAGGAAAACTAGGCGATGCCAGCTTGGTACAATTGACGGGGCCCGACGGCGCAATCGGGGCCCGATCGGGGCCCGACGGTGCAATCGGGCGTGGTTCAACCCCAGCCACCCATATTATAGCTCAACGCCGGTTTTCCTTAGCATGCGGATTGCAACTGTATCTATAGGAAAACTAGGCGATGCCAGCTTGGTACAATTGACGGGGCCCGACGGCGCAATCGGGGCCCGATCGGGGCCCGACGGTGCAATCGGGGCCCGATCGGGGCCCGACGGTGCAATCAGGGCCCGATCGGGGCCCGACGGTGCAATCGGGCCCCGATCGTCCCGTGGTGCAGCCCCACCCACCCATATTATAGCTCAACGCCGGTTTTCCTTAGTATGCGGATTGCAACTGTATCTATAGCAAAACTAGGCGATGCCAGCTTGGTACAATTGACGGGGCCCGAAGCTCAGCGTGAAACTTTGCTGGAGCCTTTCCTCAGGGCTGCCCCATAGCTTTTGCAGAATTTGGTGGAAACCTTCTGACCTCATAGCCCTCGCAGCCTCGTGGAATTCTTGGAACCAAGCAGCAATGCCAGGCATTTACTCTGCTGCACCGTGAGTTCCGCAGCGACGTGATCTGGTTTGCCACAAAGCCAACATTTGCCTGAGCAAGTGAGCAAGTCACAAAACAGTGAAAGTGTGCTAAAAAACATTGATTTCGGTTTTGCTTAGTGTTCCGCCCATGAGCAAAGCGATCTTGATCCGATGGCTTTTCAGACGACGGGCGCACGACACACCCTTGGTGGAGCATTGTGGAGCCTTGTGGAACCCGTGTGGAATCCTTGCAGAGCTTTGTGGAACCCTGTGAAACCTCAGGGCCCACAGCCCTCGCAGAATCTTGTGGAACCCTGAACCCTCATACAACCTTACCTCAAACCACCCCGGACCACCCCGCAGCCCTCGCAGAACCTTGTGGGACCCTGCTAGAAACGTGCTAAACCAGCCCGGACCGCTGGTGGAACCCTGGTGAAACCCTGGTGGAACCCTCGTGGAACCTTCCCCGGACCACGCCGCACCCTCGAAGAAATTGGTGGAACCCTGGTGGAACCCTCGTCCGGAGCACGACGGGCTGGTGGAACCCTGGTGGAAACCTGGTGGAACCCTCGTGGAACCTTGCCTCAAACCAGCTCGGACCACCCTGCAGCCCTCGCAGAACCTGGTGAAACCCTGGCAGAATTCTGGTGCAAATCTGGTGAAACCCTCGTGGAACCTTCCTCAAACCAGACCACCCCAGCCCTCGAAGAAATTGCTGGAACCCTGGTGGAACCCTCGTGGAACCTTACCTCAAACCACCCTGGACCACCCTGCAGCCCTGGTGGAACCCTCGTGGAACCTTACCTCAAACCACCCAGACCACCCCGCAGCCTGGTGGAACCCTGGCGGAACCCTCGTGAACCTTCCTCAAACCCGCAGCCCTCAAGAAATTGGTGGAACCCTGGTGGAACCCTCGTGGAACCTTACCTCAAACCACCCCAGACCACCCCGCCCTTGCAGAACCTGGTGCAACCCTGGTGGAACCCTGGTGGAACCCTGGTGGCACCCTGTTGGAACCCTGGTGGAAGCCTGGTGGAACCCTGGTGGAACCCCTGGTGGAACCCTGCTGGTGGAACCTTAGCTCAGGGTCGCCCCGAACCACCCCGGAGCCTATCTGGGCTGAGACCCCAAAGCTTTCAGCTGTTGGGGAAAAAACAAATCCCCTGGTGGTTTTTTTCAGGGAATCTATGACTACTGGAAATATTTTCTTGTTTTTTCCAGGGGACTTAAGAGCAAATGGAGGTAGGGCAGGGGATATACCGTCATGAGGGAGGGGTAGAGAGGCATCTCGACGCGCGTGGGAGGAAGCGTTGTCGTGCAGGGCGTCTGCGGGGGGGGGGAGGGGGGTTACATAGGCTTTCATTTGGTTAGTCAGTTTCATATATTTTCCCCTGTTGGTTTTAAAGGGCATCTATGACTACTGGAAATATGTTCTCATTTTTTTCCAGGGGACTTAAGCAAATGGAGGTAGGGCAGGGGTTTTACCGTCATGAGGGAGGGGTAGAGAGGGACTTCGAACAGAGAGGCTGCTCTAATTAATTATCATAACTCTATGATCCTATTTGGGCATGATACCTTGTTTTCAGTATTTGTCCTATTGTATTTGTTGGTATATCTTGTGGTTATTATTTAGTTGTTTTATCGATCTAAGGAAAAGCGGTAGGCTGTCCATTCTAAGCCATTGCTGCAATGCCGACTTCGATTCGGGGGACGGAACCCGCATGGTGGAGCCTGGCAAACTTGAAGTGAGTCATACTGCCAGGCATAGCTCAGTTGTTCAGTGGCACCAATTCTTTTTCCCTTCTTCTTTTTTTGGTGGCTGCCCCAAAACCCCAAAATGGTCTTCCCCAAAAAAGGGTTCCAACTTTTTTTCCAGGGTCACTGAACAACTGAGTTTCCGGGACCAAAAAGGCCGAGTGTTTGGGTATTACGGCCGTTCATTCGTGGAGAGAGGAGGCTCAATGAGTGTTACATCATGGTTGACCAGCTACAAGTTGTGAACCTGCCTACGCTAGAATCAATCCAGAGGATGAACTAAGAAGCCTCCATCCGCCTCCATCTACGGCACTAGGCAACCACTACGGTTAAAAACAGCCAAGCATATTTTTTGTCAACTTCCTTGGTCCAAGAGTCGGGAAGCTAGAGCGCGACATTGGTGGTCAATTCCAGCATTGCCAGTTCTCATCTATATAAGTTCGTCTCAAAATATGGGAACCCCAAGCCTTGCGGTTTTGGCTTTGATTTCCCTTTCAAAGCAGCCAACAAGTGGTAGCCCGAAAAAGACGAGCCACCCACTCGGTCCGGGTGGCCAGCTGCCCCTGGGTTGATCTGGGCATGGAGAAGACACATCGCCATGAAGGTCCTAGGGCCTAGGGGAAAGCTGATTTCCCTTGGAGATGTGTTGATTTTCGGCACCGCATAAGAAGTTTTGTATATGATATGCCGTAGAAATAACCATTTAATTGCACGGGTCTTTCTTTGGGTCCCAGCCAGAGATTATACCTTGGTTGAGTTTTAGCAATAGGTACGGAACTGGTTTAGATTGGTTGCATTCAATTTACCAGGATCTATCTTTCTAGAAGCTCGCCGGTGGTTGCAAGTTGCAATTGTTGAGGTTGATCATGTTGCACATAAGTCAAGCAGGCATCAGAGCTTCACATAAGCTGAGGTGGAACATGTGAACGATCTCTACCCAATCGGGGGTTCAGGGCTGGAGACCCTGTCCGGAAACGGTATTTGATTGAGGTCCTGTATTGTTCGTCTGCGCAGCTTGGAAGGCCTTGGGTTGAAACATGTTTGGGGCAGTGGACAATGTGGAAGGCAAGTTTCGCAACTTCTGAGCTGGGCAAGTTCTTTCCCCAATCTCGCGCAGAACCTGCTCTTGAGCACAACCCCAGCTTTGTGGAACAAATGTTGCAGCTTGCTTCGTTCCCAGCATCCGGGTAGAGGGCCCCAGGAATCACCCTTCTTGTTCGGATTGGCGCAGAAAGATGGAGTTCTTTTCATTCATGACCCCCGTGCAGAGTCAGTGACACCGAAGCAAAAAAGGGGGTTCCCCAAAATGAGACTCGTTCCTAACAATTGGAGATATATTGGTGAGAATTGCAGCCACTTCTACGATACCACTGGAAGACCTTCCAATGACTAGTTAATTTGAACCTGGTCTAACGTTGGTCAAATTACAAGGAGCCCAGCATGTGAAGCCAGCTTACCCATCAAGTTCGTTTTGGGGGGACTCCTCAATTCTGGGTTGTGAATTGCAATGATTCACCCATATATCACGCAAGAGGAAGCCAATTGTCCCCCTGAGTGGCATCCTTCATTTTGGCGGATGGGGGGAAACCCTTCTCTTACGTTTGGCGGCGTATCACCTTTTTGGCCCATTCAAGGCGAGCCTCCCTTGGTGCGGGTCATGTTTTAAGGGGGAAATCTAGTGAAAAAAGACAAAACCCTTGTTAAGGTTGGTGTCGGAAGGGAAAAGCCACCAGGAAAGCCTCATTTTTTAAGGGTATTTTATCGAAAGACATGCTGACCAACCTCCATGGCGCAGGCACGTCGGGGGTTCGGAGACGTATCCTGGCTTTCGTTCAGCCAGGCCACCGATGTTTGGTGAGCGGTGCCTGCACTCGTCCCCTCTCTCCAAGTAACGTGGAAAACCTCACAGAGGATCGCTTCAAGAGGAAATTCACCATTGCAGGTACCCTCCCGCAGGTGCTATGTTAGTGGGAGGGAGGGTACCCCGATTTTCCTTCTAATGGCCTGAGGCTCTTTGAGAAGCTCTACTTCTTTTCGCCCCTCGCCGGACCTTAGCTCAGAGCCGAGAGATCGAGAGAAACTGCCCAGCGGATGGAGCGGGGTACCGGCTCCGATGCAAAGGGGGCCCCATATCGGGGACGATGGGCCACGAAGAGGGTACTCCTGGAAGTCATATAAAATGAACCTGCAAATCATATAAAATGAAACCTGAAGAAAAAGTGAGGAATCTCCTTTTGGTGTACCCTTTGTTTTGGCTTCCATGTTTTCGTGGTAGGGAAGCAGAATGTTAGTCATAGGTTCGAATATTCACCCTGGGCAAAACCCCTTCAAAGGCTAAATGCGGCCAAGCAAAACCCCGTACACCCAAGACGCACTGTTTCAGAGTATGAGGCTAACCCCTGACTAGCAACTTTGTTATAGAAAGCCGGGTGTTCAAAGTATACCCTCAAACACGGGCATTTGGAGTACGGGGTGGATGAGGCCAAATCATCTGTATAATGCCTGGGGTGCAGAGATTGATGCATATCATATATGTGGGTACATATTATGCATAATAACATGGCCACACATGGATAGAGAGAGAGAGAGATTTCGGGCGAATGGCATGGAATGGTGTACCATGGCTACTTGCAGGACAGGTGCATTCATCCACTCTAGTCAACTCATCAACGTATATAAACAAACACATCAGCCTTGAGAAATGCGGGGGTGTCATGCCGAATTATTTGGATGCTTTTTGATTGCATGCAATTCTCTGCAATTCCGTTGGGAGCATTCGCAGCGCCTTGTTTCGAAGGGACGCGGGGGCTCCCTATGTATTGTAGGTATTTGGGGTTCGTGGCAAAAGTAGCCCAAAAGGGGCGGTTTGTCCTTTTGGCTTCCCTTCAGGCCAACCCCCCCCCCAAAAAAAAAGAGAGAGAAGAAAACAATCACTGGAGTTTGTTGGTGCGAAGTGGCGAGATCTGAAGGTCGTTGACGCTCCCAGCCCTAACTGGGGTGTTGACAGGAATTGTTAGCAAACTGTTGAGGTCCACACACAAAAGTCGATACCCACAAACCACCAGCCCCAATTCGAGGCAGCGGTACTCCCAGCCCGGGCGGCTCGTCGACCCCACGCCGGGGCCCTAGGGCGGCAGAGGAGGATTCTGGCACCTGTTGGCTGGAGAAAAATGTGTTGAAACTAGCGGAACGGGATGCTTCTTGGCCAGAATCATCTTTACCCGCTGATTTAGAGGATTGGATATCAGACAATGTTGGGAGGTATCCTTTGGACTTTGTGGAATCCCTAAAGGGGCAAGGGAGCCAACACAGTTGCGACTGCGCAACTTGGAGTCCCTATATTTCCCTTTGAAGCCGGTTTGAACCGCACTTTGAGGACGACATGTGGCGGTTTTTCCTCTTGGACCAAAAAAGCAGCCAGCTGTGTATAGGCTTTGCGGATTGTGACCAACTCGCCCCATCTTTTGGAAGCAAATGGCTTCTCCATTAAAGTTGGAGAAGGTGAGAGCTTCTGGATCTTCTGCTCGGGGCTTGGCCCAGCTCAACTTTTTAAGCTTTTCAATGTCAGGGGCGAGCGCGTAAACCCTTAAACCCTTGAACCCTTGAACCCTTAAACCCTTACACTCTTGAACCCTTAAACCCTCAAACCCTTGAACCCTTGAACCCTTAAACCCTTAAACTCTTGAACCCGTAAACCCTTAAACCCGTTGACTTGGTTTTTTTCGGCCTCGGTTTGGTTCCTTTGGGTGTTCGATGGTTTAGGCGGCGGCGCCTCAATGACGCCCAGCTCCTTTGTGGAGAGCCCGCCGGTGCTGACGCTGAAGGCACATGCACGGATGGCACGAAAAAGGGTTTGTCTCAAAGGTGAACCCTCCAAACAGCTGGTCCAACTCAAATACCGAAGACAATTTTCTGCAGCTGGCCTTAACACCTCATGAAATTTCCTTTGCAATCAACTTTAAACCTCCACGTCATTGGTGTTCTGCTGTTTTCCCGTGAGCACCGTGAAGGGGGGGCAATCAAACTCGGAGAACAACACGCGCACTTGCGGCGAGATCCCGGCGCTAGCAGCATTTGCAAGGAATGCAGAAAGTGAAACCGGCTCCACTAGAGTGACATGCTCAAAAAATACAATTCAACTGGCCTCTCAAAAGCAAAGGCCCCCTAACAAAGCAGGTTTGCGACCCCCCAGAGCGAGTCCTCTTGACCTGTTGCTTTCTTCTTGGCCCAAGGGGTGGGCCTTTGGTTTTCAGGCGAGGGTTCCACTTTTTGATTCTCCCAAGGTGGACTAAAGCCGCGAGGGAAACCAACCGTGGAGCCCTGTTCCAGGCAAGTAGGAGTGAAATGCAAGATTGAAACGTCATGCTCGACAGTTTTTTAGCCATCTTTTGCAGTCAAAAAAAGGGGTCCGCCCAAGAGAAAACGAGTGAAAGCTCAGGATGCCATCGCTTTTTGCTGCCCCATTTCCGCCGCACCAAGACCCCGAAGACCCTCCCTTCTCATCCTGGGACTCTTTGGAGAGGATGTGGTAATGAGCCGGCAGAACAGCTTCCTGAGCCTGGGACTCGGGCCACGCAGCTTCCCCCAAGTTGGATTTAACAATTAGAAGGGGTACGAAGGTGTTTGTGTCCCCGAGTTTGGAGGGGATTCTTTCTTGAACAAGACCTATTCTTGGGAAGAGCAGGACGCTGTGGATCCGCCGGGTGTTTTCTCTGGGCTGGAGCTCCGGCACGGATCCCTGCTCGTGAACACCCTTTGCCTCCAGCCCAGATGAGGGCTGGAGCTCCGAACTTTTCAGCCGTCCCGGTTTTGCTCGAGGCTTGATCCGGGTCCAGAGGGTGGCTTCTTTCTTCTTGGCTGTGTAGGTGGTTCCCATTGCACGGGCGAGCGAACATCTTTTTGGAGGACCCTTTGGATGGCAAAGGGACACCACCGGGAAGCCAACAGAAACCATTGTGAAGGCAAAGGGAAACCAAAAGGGACCAAGGAATAATAAAAACAACTGACGTCCACATCTCTTGCCATTTGCGCAAACGCTACACCTCCAAAGTTGCGGCTTGACCGCCCAAAGAAACGGCTCCCAAAATTCACTCGCCTCCCCAGCCGTCGGCTTTCCTTTGGCTTGGTTGACACCTCCCGTCCATCTGCACCATTGTTTTGTTCGTCTCGATTTGTCCAAAGCTGGTGAAGTCCACCAATTTTAGTCCTCCTCCCCAATGCGAAGTCTGAAGCGCCCACCTGAAGTGGTCCTAGTTTCGTAGGGCTATCCCCAAATCGAAGTCAGCGCCCACTCACCCAAGGCAAGTCCCCTGGGAAACACCCCAAAAAACCTCCGGAAGTCCCCGTGACTCGGCCCCTCGGCCCCTCGGCCCCTCGGCCCCTCGGCCCCTCGGCCCCTCGGCCCCTCGGCCCCTCGGCCCCCGGCGACTCGGCTTCCCGAGGTTTGGTGGAGCAGACGCCCACCATGCTGCTGTCCAGCTTCGTGGCCGGAGCCCCAAATGGTCAAAATCCAAAAATTGGTTGGCCTCCAGTGGCTACATCAACCAATCCAACCACTAAAATAGGAAGCCTAAAATGAGCGGTGAATTCACCTACCCCCAAAATGGTACCATTGGTGTTGTTGACCCACGGCCAAATGACTCACCCACCGGAGAGAAGGGAGGGAAGGGAGGGCGTGTCAATTGTTTTTATGGGGACCCCCATAAATGGTGGGCTTTTTTTAGGAGTTCCCCCCTTTAAATCACAAACAAAGGGGTGTCCTCAAAAAGGCGCGCCCAGAACAGAGATGAAAACGGCACACCCAGAACAGAAATAGAATAAGAACTACGAAAAGTACGAACCGTGTGTTGCTTTGAAGGGCTCAGAAGTCACAAGGGATCACTTGGCTCGCACAGACTTACCAGAAGATGTTGAACAAATCAACACAGCTGGAACGAGCTGCAAAAAAGATCGATCAGCAAGCTTGACTTTTGCCAGTGGATCAAAGGCGAAAGTGGGGAGCAGTGGCACTCCACAAAGATGGGCATTGTTTGTGAACCCCAAATGTGGCCCAATATATGTGTTGCAGTTTGAGAGTGTCCTTTATGGATTTGTCTTTTCTGGAGGAAACCCATTTGGGTGATGATGTTAAAGGGAAGCCAAAGGGGAGCCTGAAAAGAGTCCAAGCCACCACGGGGTCGACGCCTGGGGAATCGACGGCTTCGGGGGCCGACGGCGTCGGTCGCCGACGGATTCGATCGCGAATTCTGAGGGACAGCTTGGCATCGAGCTCACGCACGCCTGGATCTACGCCGCTGGTCTGCACGGCAAAAAAGATCCGGGGTCTGCGTTTTTTTGTTGGATTTGCGCAAGGGGCCTAGGTCCCCCAGTAGTGCCCTTTCTCACCCTTTTTTGGGGGAGGGTTCCCCTACTAAAACAGACTACAGAAAGAAAGGGTACCCTTTTTCTAACCTCTGTACTGGAGGACCTAGGGGCTTAAACCCAACGAATGAATAACCTAATTGGCGACCGGATGAGCTGCAGGGCTGAGCAAAGTCTTGGTGAGCAACCCTGGACCCATTGAATTGGGCACTCAGCCGGACAGGACCAAGCCGCAGCCCACCCCAAGGAGTATGGCTTTCTTAAGGCAACCTTCTTGGTGGGGATTGTTATAAAGAAACGGCCCAGTGAAGAAGGGCCGACGAAATCAATAGCGAAGCCTTAAAAAACACCTGGGACGTGTTGGAACAGAAAGCCGGTGAGACACCCAGAGCCCGAAAAGCAACAATTTACTGGGTGCCCGACCAAAAGGCGACCCCACCCACAAAGATCACCCGAACCTGGGTGTGTTGGGACCAGACACCCAGACACCCAAGTGGGTTGCTTCCGTTTTCTTGCTTTTTGGGAGGGTGTTTTTTAGAAGCGGCTACCAAAAAGGGTGGCAGGTTTCTCCAATGGCCACTGTTCACACGTGTTGGCTTTGGGATGTTCCTTTACCCTTTCAACCACCAGTGTCCTTTTAGTCCAAGTTGGTTGAAGACTAGAGGGCACTGGTTATGCTGGCCAGCAACTCACCCAGCCAATGGACAAACGCAATACACTTTGTCTCCGTGGCTTCCACTGCTTTTGTTTAGTGGTGGCCCAAGAGGTGCTTCCACGTGATTTTTGTTTTCGGCTGTGACTGGCCAAGAGAGGCGGCTTGATCAGTCGCACGTTTCTTTTTTTTGGATCAATGGATTTGCTCATGGCAAGCTCTCCTGGAGTAAAACAAGCCATGATGTACCATGATGTAGTCCCTTCATTTCAAAATCCTAAAAAACAAATTGTGGCTCTGTGAAAGTCTTTATCAAATTCTACTCGATTTTGAATGGAGTCCAGATATATGTGATACAGACAGAACCCAATCATAATGTCTATTTCAAATTCATATGTAAATCAGAATGATTCTACTTCAAATTGGATTCTACACAGGAGTTCCTTTCCAGTAGAATTTGCTTTACATATCAGTTAACATGTCCACACAATGAACCAGTGCGCAGTTCCTTTCCAATGGAAACTACTTTGCAAATCATGAACAGATGAACATGACGAGCACGCTGGCTCTGGTGACGCCAGCATCACCAGCCACGCTGGCATCGCGCCAGCATCCTGGCATCTCATCACCAGCCACCCCACCAGCATCTCCAGCATCATCAGCAACACTCTGGTGACTAGAAATCGGAGGGGTATTTATTTTAGGATTTTTTTTCGTTTTTGTTTTTTGTTTTTTTTTTCGCTTTTGGCTTCTTGGCTTCTTGGCTTCTTGGCTTTCTTGGCTTCTTGGCTTCTCGGCTTCTTGGCTTCTTGGCTTTTCGGCTTCTTGGCTTCTTGGCTTCTCGGCTTCTGGGCTTCTTGGCTTCTTGGCTTCTTGGCTTCTTGGCTTTTCGGCTTCTTGGCTTCTCGGCTTCTGGGCTTCTAGGCTTTTCGGCTTTTCGCATCCTCTGCATTCCCAGTTCCTCTTCGGCAGGTGGCGTTTTTCCGACATCAATGGGGGGGGCTGCCGGCCCCCCCCAACCCCCCCGCTACTTTTTAGACTTTTTGCAGAGATTTAATTGCACTCCTATTCAAATCATCACTTCTGCAAACAACATCGTGGGCGGCAGCCCCCAACCCCCCCGCTGCTTTTTATATTTGTTTACAGGGATTGACATGCCCTCCTACTTGAATCATCATTTCTTTGACCCCGTCACACGATTTGTGGGTGATGCTAGGGATGTTGGTGGGACATGCGGGGGATGTTGACGGGCTAGTGTAAAATGCGTCAATTTCGCGAGAACATGCTGTAAAATTCGACACTTTACTGGCCCGGCAGAGATTGAATTGCACCCCTGTTTGAATCATCACTTTTTCGAGCGTCCAATTTCGCGAGAAAATGCTGCAAAATACGACATTTTAGGTAATCTGTGTAGTCCGTGTATGTCTGTATGTATGCATTTCTTCGAACATCATAGGGGAAGCCACCCCCGCCAACCCTCCCGCTGCCTTGTAAATTCTATCACACCCTTTCTTGAATCATTGCACCCTACTTGAATCACCACTTCTTCCGACATCATGGGGGGGCTGCAGTGCCGCCCCCCCCAACCCCCCCCGCTACGTTTCACCCCTAGTTGAATCATCAATTCTTCGAACATCATGGGGGGGGGCTGCCGCCCCCCCCAACCCCCCCGCTACTTTTTAGACTTTTTGCAGAGATTTAATTGCACCCCTATTCAAATCATCACTTCTGCAAACAACATCGTGGGCGGCAGCCCCCAACCCCCCCGCTGCTTTTTATATTTTTTTACAGGGATTGACATGCCCTCCTACTTGAATCATCATTTCTTTGATCCCGTCACACGATTTGTGGGTGATGCTAGGGATGTTGGTGGGACATGCGGGGGATGTTGACGGGCTAGTGTAAAATGCGTCAATTTCGCGAGAACATGCTGTAAAACTTTAGAGCCTCCGGCTCAGTCCGCCGACATTGTCCTCTCCCTTTTCTCCTTCTTCCTCTCGCCCTTGTCTCCCTGGTGTGTTCTGTCGTCCTCTCTCCCTCCCTCCGCTCCCCATCCTCCCCATCCCCCCAAGCCACTCTCTCCCCAATCTCCCTCTCTCGTATGTATGTATGTATGTATGTATGTATGTATGTATGTATGTATGTATGTATGTATGTATGTATGTATGTATGTATGTATGTATGTATGTATGTATGTATGTATGTATGTAATGTATGTATGTAATGTAATGTAATGTAATGTAATGTAATGTAATGTAATGTAATGTAATGTAATGTAATGTAATGTAATGTAATGTAATGTAATGTAATGTAATGTAATGTAATGTAATGTAATGTAATGTAATGTAATGTAATGTAATGTAATGTAATGTAATGTAATGTAATGTAATGTAATGTAATGTAATGTAATGTAATGTAATGTATGTAATGTGATGTAATTTAAAGTAATGTAATGTGATGTTGTGTAATGTAATGTATGTATGTATGTCTGTATGTCTGTCTGTATGTATGTCTGTATGTATGTATGTATGTATGTATCCTTGCACTTCCCCTTTGCTCCCCAGTATTTCCCGCAAAAAACACTGTTTTTCCAGCGTTTTCGCAAAGAGGATGTCCAAAAACACAGAGTTTTTCCAGGTTTTCGGCAAAAGGATGCAGGAAGCCCAAGCCAGCAAAAAAGCCGGCAGGGGGAATCGAGCCTGGGACCCCCCCCCCACGTATCAGACGTCGGGTGGGCGGGGGGTTAGGGGGGGGGGTTATCCTCTATCCTCTCTTAGGTGTCCGACACGCCGAGCAATGTCGGCGGATTCGACACTTTACTGGCCCGGCAGAGATTGAATTGCACCCCTGTTTGAATCATCACTTTTTCGAGCGTCCAATTTCGCAAGAAAATGCTGCAAAATACGACATTTTAGGTAATCTGTGTAGTCCGTGTATGTCTGTATGTATGCATTTCTTCGAACATCATAGGGGAAGCCACCCCCGCCAACCCTCCCGCTGCCTTTTAAATTCTATCACACCCTTTCTTGAATCATTGCACCCCTACTTGAATCACCACTTCTTCCGACATCATGGGGGCTGCCGCCCCCCCCCAACCCCCCCGCCACGTTTTAGATTTTCTACAAATTCTTCGAACATCATGGGGGGGGCTGCCGCCCCCTCCAACCCCCCCGCTACTTTTGCAGAGATTTAATTGCACCCCTGTTCGAATCATCACTACCCCGCTCTGTTTTTCTTGGATTTTGTACCCACCATTTGTTGGTGATGCTAGGGATGTTGGTCGGACATGCGGGGGATGTTGAAAACGATGCTGGGGATGTTGACGAGCTAGTGAAATGCGTCAATTTCGCGAGAAAATGCTGTAAACTACGACACTTTGCTGGCCCGAACAAAAAACGGAAAAAAAATCCATAAAAAAAACGAAAAAAAAGCCAAAAATAAATCCGCACCCCTTAGAAATCTGCTAGAATCAATCTTTAACCCAACGAGCTACACATATTTTAAGCCCCAAGTATTGCCATAGTCAAACAACATCGTAAAACACTGTGTTTTGTTGTCGCCGTTTGCGTACCAAATTCACATCTTCACCAATGGCCGCTCTGTAAAACTAAAACAATCATGTGAATATATGATTTTAATGGGACTCAATAAGAACATACCTATTTGAATCCTGCTGGAACTTCTAGATCCTACATGTAGAATTTAGTTAGATTTCCTTGCCAAATACATGTCCCTGCTATTTGCACAACTCCCACCAACACAGAAGAACTGCACTCCTGCAGACCCCTTCCCAGATCGCACTTGTGAGAATCTGCGCGCACTGGGAGCCCCCCCAACCCCCCCCCCACCCCTGGGTTTCCATGTTTCCAAGCTGGTTAGCAGATCCATCGTTGATTGTCATAGATGGTGTTTCTCAAAATATGGGGACTTCTAAAATTGGTGGTTTTCCTTTTGGTCTTCCTTGAACACAAAAGGGCAACCCCAAAAAAACGGCCAGACGCATCATTTCTGTTGACCGTGGCCATGTACCCAGCCTGAGGTTGAAGCAAATTTGCTATCTTAGTACCTGGACGAAATCCGGAAAGCACTAAGGCATGGTTGAAACCATAGCGTTTGTTGGTATTTGATTCGGGGGAATCGAACCATTCAGGATTCTGAGCGGGTTTTCTGAGCGGTGCGAAATGGATTTCGAAAATTGGAACCATCCACAGGTTTCAATTGTGACGAGGGAGTATACCCATCGATGCATGTTCCCTGGTCCTTGGGGACTCACTTCAGGAATACGTCAAGAACGACTGGCGGAATCTCCGGGGGACATACGTACTGTGGATGGACAAAAGCACATTTCGCACCAGCTGGGATGGATGGAACGTGAGTACTAGGATATATTATGGATAAGTCATTTGCCTAGTGCGAAGCAGATTTCGTTTCCATCAGAAGGAAGCAACTTGGCATGATCCTTTTCGGGTGCCCCGATGTTTGAAGGGTCATGGACATAGGTGTCCTTCTTGGTTGGTTTTTGCTCAAAAAAACAGGGTGATTCCTGGTTTAGATGGGGCCGTCTTATGTTTTTCCAAAAGGCCACCTATGGTTATGGAGGCATTCTACGAAGGCAGTACTTCTTGAGCAGGGCTCCTTAAAAGATACATTTTGCAACCAATTGAAACATGTTGATGTTTCCACACCAAAATAAAGGGAAACCACCATTTACAAGGCAATGTTCAGGAGTATAATGCATTCGGATCCCTGATTGTTGATGAATCCGGGCAATTGTTTGTTGCGATGTCGTACGCTTTTCGGTTGGTCAGGGTTGGTCCCTCAAAGTTGTAAGCAGCTGATGAACCAATGCGAGTTGAACAGCTTCTGGTATTCCGTCCACCAGTCTTGGGTTCTTCCCAAATCTTCCCCTGAGGGAACAGCCCTGCTGCTGAATGATTAATTTGCTCGGGCTCTATACGTTTTTTGGAAGACCTCTTTTGTGGCACGCAAACCGTTCGGACTCTTGGTGGTCTCATTTGCTCAGGGAGTCCAATAGCTTTCCTCGCGAATACCAAACTTCTCCCAGAGGCCAAACTCCCACAACCTCAAAACATCAAACTTGGACCCTTAGACAAGGACACACCTGCCCATCCTTTCAGCACACTCAACCGCTAGGGTACTAGACCCACTTTTAAGCCGCGGTGAATAAGAACAGCTTTGGACCCGACAAGACCTTCAGGACTTAAGGATCCCTGTTGGGCGAAACTCAGGTCATCGTGGACTATCTCAGAAGGCAGAAGCTCGACCAGGCACGGCTTCGGGCGACTTCCGCTGGAACGAAGTCGCTGGAGCGGAGCGGTTGGACACCCCAAGCGTTGAGCCAGGGGACCGTCTTTTTGTGGCGACTTGTTTTTGTTTGAAAGGTTGGTTTAAAAGATTTTGTTTGTTTGAAAGGTTTTAGTTTTTGGGGACTTTTTCGGTGGCCCCCTGTTCTTCATACACGACTGAAGCCTCTGCTGACCCTTCACCCCACTTGCCCCGTCTTGCCCTTCCCGTGCTTGCAGAATAGACTAAGATGACGAGGGCCATTGCCGTGGTTGTTGCTCAAATCGCAGAGGGGTTTGAAGAAAACAATTGCAACTGGACCTTCTTGTTGAGGGTGCGATGGACGTATTACAGCGCAGGCATTTCGCAGTTGTGGGCATTTGCCAGCTTCCGGCGATCCAAGCCGAGCGCCCAGATCGCGGAGCATCTGGATGCGGACCAGGAAGCCCTGAGCCGAGCGCCCGCGAGCTCAGGGCGCGTGCAGGTGGTCAACGACTATTTGGCTCAACAACTAGGTCCCCCAGTGCCCTTTCTCACCCCTTTTTTGGTTGGGAGGGTTTCCCTACTAAAATAGACTACGGGGGGAAACAAAAAACAAAAACATCGGGTACCCTTATTCTAACCTCTCTACTGGAGGACCTAGCCTCCCTCCCAGCATGGCATCCGTGGGCGCATGCCTGGAAGATCAAACCTTTTCTCCCCCTGGTAGGTGCCATGGCAACGTGGGAGGGAGGGTACCCAAACATCCACACACACACAGACACACACACAGACACACACACACACACACATGTTTTTTTGCAGGGCCCCCCTGGTTCATCCAGCCGACGCGAGAGAAGCTTTTCTTGGAGCCCTTAAACATCTAGACATGTTAGATGCCCCAATGGATATATATATATATATATATTTTGGCGTACCCCTTTAAGAAAAGCAATCGTGCCCCTGCGTTGGAGTACCTTGGTTGACTTCCATTTGCTTTCGAATATGTTTTTGTGTTCCCTTATCGGTTTTAAACGGAATTTATTAATCACTACTGGATTTTTTCCAGGGGTCTTAAACAAATGGAAGTTGTTTGGGAGTTTTCCTCTTTGTTTGGTTGGCAAGGAAAATAAATTCCCACACGTCCCGAGGATCGAGTCCATGATGCAGGCCACACGGCGGAGGGTGCAAACTACCGCGCTGGGAGGAGCGCAGGGGGGGAGGTGTCACCGAGCCGAGTGGATTTCACGTGGCTGCCGCGAACCCCGTTGATCCTGCTGAAGGGGGGGGGTGTCACCCGCAAAAGTGACGGATTTCCTCCTAGTAGGTGTCACCCCCAAAAAGTGATCCGGAGTCCCATGAAGGGGCCACCAGCCTTGTATACAATCCGTGGTTCAACCGGCATTTCTCGTTTCGCGGGTTGGTTCGACAGAGGATCTCCCAGCTAGCTTTTGGCACCAAATTGCATTTGGCGACTCAAGCGCAACCAATCATTCCATGTAGGCAACCAGGAACCCTTGAAATCTGAAACCGACTGGTTATTCGGTTATCCATACTGGCAACTGGCTTTCAAGTGGGGCAGGGGTTGGATATGTTTGTGGATCAGTCCGAATTTAGAAGATGAGGTGATGAGGCCTTGTGTCGCCGAGATGGCCCGTGATTGATACGGGGGTGTTTGGGGATCATCTAAGGTTTCAACAGATCGCTGAGCCCAATCCATGCGGTTTTTTTCTTCTTTTAAACTTAACCCTCTGTTTAGGGAAGCATGGGAAGGAAAATGAAGGGGCCCTCAGGGCTAAGGCAAATTTCCCAAATGGTCCAAGTGCCTCAAATTTGCGGATTTGAAAACTCCGAATTCGACGAATTCCTTGAACCAACCCCCCCAATTTTGGAAATATGGTATTCCGTTTGGCAGTCTGTGGGCAAACGGGGTCCCTCTAATTTTCCAAAGCACGTGTTTGTGTTGCCAGAGCAGTGGAAAGTGCACAGCCCGAGTCCGTCCAGGTGATTCCCGAGGGTGCGGCCCGAATTGCTTGGCTGGTTTCCTGGAGGTTCCATGGAAACAGGTTTCCCAAAATCAGTGTCAGTTTCTTTCTAACCCCCACACAAAAGAGGGGATTTTTGTTTAATCCCCGATTTTGCAATGACTCAGATGCGTACACCTGGACTGTCCGACCATGTTCCTTGTTCAAGCTCCCCCAGGTTGCTTTCGAGTTGGTGACTCTAGTTCCAGGTCTCACCCACGACGATTGCCGGAACCTGGAGAAGAAGCTGGAAGAGGTGCCCCCCCGTTTGGCGGCAAAGCATTTCGGTGTGTACCCCACTGGGTTCCTCAACCTTCACCGATGAAAATGGGGTCCTCTACCCATTTCGGGGTCACCCCCGATTCGGAGACTTGTTCGGAAGTGAGATCCAGCGGTTGTTCCCGTAAGGGGCGTGAGTCAGACTCGAGGAGCGGGAGCTTTAAAGGTCATAGCAAGGCCTGGAAAGCGCCATGTTAACCATTTTTTTGCGCCAAGAGTCAGTGCGTACCTGGGGTTCTTTGTTTCATCCCAAACAGGGAGATCCAATTAGTTGTCCCTGGAGTCTCCTTCTGACCCTTTCAACATGGGTCCATGACCCCAGAAATTTGGGCCATGACGCCAACGGAAGTCCCCATGTGCAGCGAGCGCGCTGGCGAAGGATGGGAATCGTATGGAATGGCCATGCGGACGAAGAGATCCATGCTTACCTCTTAAAAACACAACTTTTCAACGTTTTGGGTAACATGTCTGTAAAAGATTAGCTTCCCCAGGGCTTGGAGTTTTAAGGGGTAAGCATGGTATGGCTTGAGTTTTTGTTGCGAGCTACCCTTTCTCACCTTAGCTTGGCAAAAGGAAACCAAAGGACAACCTCCACTTGACCCCCCGGACGATGGTTTCTGTGTTGCCCACCGTTCCGATTGACCTTTGCACTAATTCAAGCTTCAGTCTCAGGGAGTAAAGAGGATGATTGATCCAATATTCAATGAGTCTTGCAAACAATTGTGTTAATTATTCATGCATATCGATGGCAGAGCATATTTTTATGGGCGTGTCTTCGTTTGTGAGTTTTCTCTGCTGGTTGATGTTCAAGAGAAACCAAAGGGACACCACCCATTTGTTGGGGGGATCCCCCTGTTTTGAGACACACCCTTATGAAAAATTGAACAATCTCCCCCCCCAAAAAAAAACGGCGCGCCCCCCGAGTCTTCGAGTGTCGGGTGGATTTTTCTCGGGTTCCGAAAGCCGGGAGGTCCAGCGCCTGAGCCAGTGCTTCATCGAGGAGACCCAGTCCCGCACAGCCCCTTCGCCTGAAACCGGCGCGCGAAGAGCAAGCCGCTCGCGAAGAAGCCGCTCTGCGTCCGGAATTGGGTCTGAAAATGTCGGAGGGGGGGACCTCCAACACGGGTGGTGGTCCTTTTGGCCTTCCTGGAGGAAAGCTCCAAAATGGGTGGTGTTTCTTTTGGTTTCCTTTACACCAGCAAGGGGAGCGCGCCTCAAACCTAAAAGACAGACCTGTTTTGGACCAGTTGAAAGGTGGCCAATTTCTCTCACCCAGCGGACACACAAAATACGTGGTTCTCGCGGGGGAGGGGGTCCGTGCAAAAAGAAGTCGTGAATGATACATTTGTTGTTTGCTGCCATGACAACACCAGCTTTACAGCCCGTGGTTTTTGCAGCTGGCCTCTCCAAAACCCATCATTCACCCATGCATCTAGGGGTACCTTCCCCATTCTTTCCAGGGATCCTTCTTTTCAGGAAACCATCAAATACCCAGGGGAAACAGCCGGTTTTTGAAAAGAACGATGGTTGAAAAGAATGGGGAACTCCGGTTCGGCTTTACATCATCCGGGCGCTTCCTTGGGAGCTGAGGCGTGCCAGCCAGAACTGGAGCCGCCTCACGGTGCAAAGCAGAGCACGGCAAGCACACCACCGAGCAGGTTCAACGACCCTGCTTATGTCTAAAATGTATGTAAGTTACAAAGCCAGAAGTGGACAAACAAACCAACAAGCAAGCAATCAAGCAAACAAGCAAGCAAGCAAACAAACAAGCACGTGAGAAAGCAAACGCCCTAGCACCAGTCCAGCGTTGATCCACTCTCCAAGGCAGAGGAGTTGTCGCGGTACGCAGCCAAACTGCGAGGTCCGGTATGGGAGAGGGAGGAGTTTCAGGGCGAAGACCAGCCCGCGGATGTCCATTGTTTGCCATTGGCAACGTACTGTTCTTCCATTGGCTGAAATGACTTGCCTTATTATTCAATTCTCCCTGTGGCTGCTGTGTTCTTGTTTTTTAGCTTCCGGGGCACTTAAGTCATTGCAAGTGATTCAACCCGATTGTTTGGAGGATCGCAGTACTTGCGGGTGTCCCCCATACAATTTACCTGGGATCTCTTTTCTGTTTTACATACAACGGCACCTTTATTCGGGAGGGTGTTGCCTTTAAGGGCAAGTACTTTTCAGGGGGTGCTGAATCAAGGGAAGCAACCACGCAGTTGTGTGGCATTAAAGCCCTTTCTTGTTTCATCTTGTCCCCACTAGAAAGGGCCAACCCCGAAAAGGGTTCGGTTTTCTATTTTTCAGGTCGCGCAACTGGGTGTGACTCCAAATAGCGGAGGGTACCCTCAAAACAGACACGCGCACTCGGCGTCCCTTCAACAGAGTGTCCAGGCGTTTGTGGCGGTTTTCCTTTGAACGAAGCAACAAAGGCACCCCGGGTGTGTGGTGAAAGCCGGGATTTGGACCACCTGGAGTCTCCATGACCCTTTGAAAATGGGTTCATGACCCCATTATGTTGGGGAATAACCCCATTTTTCAGGGGTCCGAAGGAGGCTCCAGGCATTTATGTATACGTATACGTATGTTGTCAGCAACAGATCGAACACACACACATATATATATATATATACACATACATATGTATATACATAGTATCATATATACATATATATACCTGTATCTTCCAACGAGCGTTATTTTCTGCTCAAGCTGTTATTTGATACGCTTTTTGTGCTTGCGAGCGTTTTTTGGGCAAACGAGCGCTATTTAGTCTTCGAGCGTTAACTCAGCCAACTGGAAGGCCGCTTCGCAAAGGAATTGAGGCTCCGTTGGAGAACAGGTTGCGCAATGCGGTCAATGTTTTGAATCGAGCAGCACCTTTCCTGGATGAAACAGGCCAGGCCGCACAACGAGCGCACATTCCCGCTACAAAAGCGCAATTTCCCGCCACACGAGCGCACTTCAAAAAGTGCTAGTTTTGCCACGTTCGGCGCCCGCTGCAAATCTTGCACATGAGTAGCAGAAAGACTGAGCCCACACGCTGAACAGTTTCTTCTTTTCCGATATCCGATCCGAGCGCTTTTTCTTGAACCGAGCGCTTTTCAGATAAACGCGCGGTAATCTGCACGAGCAGAAAATAACGCTCATCGGAAGATTGAGGTATATATATATATATATATATATCTACATAATCCCATGGTGTGAAAGGCGGGACTTGGACCAGACACGGCTTCGGCGTTCCTCGTGTCGTTCCCTCGGCTTCCCGCGACGGAAGGCGAGGTCTCCGCCGAGGAGCCCGCAGCCCCGCCGCGCGTTGGGAGTCGGTCAGGGCGCGAAGGGCCACGAGAAAACCGGCCTCGGTGTTCTTTTTTTTGGTCCAAGCGACCACCTCAAAAAAGCAGGGGTCCCTATATTTCCCTTAAAAAGTGGTTTTAAGCATCACCTTGTTGGTCCATGAAAGGAGAGTATCCCTTAATGAGGGTGATGTTTTAAAGGGAAATATAGGGAGAGGCAAGAAAGGGTACGCCCATTCGCCTCAGAACGGACGAAGACAAAACTGTTCTACTAAGTCATGATTCCACATTCTTTCCAACCATCCTTCGTTTCCAAAACTAGCTGTTTCCCGTGAGGTTTTGCGGGTTTTCTGAGAAGAAGGAACCCTGGAAAGAATGGGGAAGCTTCCCCTAGAACTGTTGAGCGTTAAGACTGTTGAACTTTCGAGTCTAGCTCGTAGTGTATTTTGAGAGGCCTGTTCTCGATAAGTTGCTTCACGCGTAGGGTTTCGATGGTGACGTTACTACTTGTCAGCCTGCCAAAATAGGGTGTGTGTGTGTTGGGAAACCCGGGTGGGACCATGCAAAAAACAAAAACACGCTTGTGCACTTGCCCAAACTCGCAGGACGGCTACACTCGGGTCCATGATTTTCCTTTAAACAGCCGCAAAGTTGTTTTTCTCTCGGGACATTTGTTTGCACTTGTTTGCTTTCTCCGACTTAATGCCTTAGAATGTGTGCAGTTTTTAAAATACTCCTGAAACCGGAAATAGGGACTCGTCTGCTTTTTAGGGCCCCCCCCCAAAATGACGCATCGGCTTTCCTTTTGGTTCCCCTGTAAAAAATACAAGAAAAGGGGTACCCCCCCAAACAAAATCCCAAAGACCCACATGGCTTCAGCTCACCTTCGGCTCGAAACGTACTTCGCGCCGTGCCAGGTAAGGGAGCGTTCTCAGACCCCAGGCAGGACTTCAGGTTCCGCTGGTCCAGCTTCCGGCAATGGGAACCCCGGAGGAGTCAACCCCCGGTTAAATTTTACATAATATATATATATATGTATATACATATATATATATATATACATACATATACGTATACATACATACATATATATATATATATATTTGGGGGGTCCTCTTTTGGTGGGGCTTCATCACTTGAAAATCACTTTTGGAGGGGAACACATTTTGTGACACGAACCGGCTTACTTTTTCTGGGGGCAACATTGAACTGGTAGGATTGGTTCGGGGTATTGGCACCTCTTATTCCTTCAAATTTGGTATGAAGGGAACCAGCCTTCACCTTCAGCCCAAACCACCAATCACGACTTTGTTAGGTTGTTGTTTGTTTGTTTGTTTGTTTTGTTGCTTGTTTGTTTGTTTGCTCGGTTCAGGACCCACTAAAACATGGAATCAACCCCAAACACGGTCCCAATGGTGTTTGTACCAGAGTCCCTGGACAGCTACAGGTTATACCCTAATTGGGGGTAGAAAAAGGAGGGGCACATTTGGACGATCATCTGCCTCAGCTGACCCTTGGTTCAAACGTCAAGGAAGCAGGCTGACAGAGTCCTCAACTGGTCCGGTTGACTTGGCTAGAGCCAAGCTGTCCAGGTCAAAGCGGAGTCTGCCAATTCTGCTGCATGTATCCGGACAATCTATAACTATACTGTCAATAGGAAGGCAATGCTACTCACGAGACAGGTTCTGATGCGGTTCTTGGAAGTTCGATGTTTTTTTGGTTGGTTTGCCCATTATGGGTTGCCCAGCTACCGAAAACTCGACTGCCAGGCCGTTCGCAGCACAGGCGGGCAGAATGGTCGTCTATTCGTCTTGTTTTTGGAATAGTTACCCGTTTTGGGGTGTTGTTAGAAGGGAACAAAAGACACCCACCAGTTTTGAGTTTTGATCGTCCATATCAATTTTGAGACAAAGGCCTATCTGTCGTTCCTCAGGAAGTATATGCTCTTCACGGTATATCAGGTTCCAAAAAGATTTGCTGGGATACTGGCCAGTCCAGGGACTCGAAGATTGTGTAGCCCCGGCCATTGCAGACACAGCAATTGGTGCCCTTTTACCGTTTCTTTTTTTGGGGAGGGTTTGGGACCCTACTAAAATAGACTGCAGAAAAAGAGTTAGCACCCTTGCTCTAACCTCTCTACTGGAGGACCTAGCAGATGTCCAAATCTCACCTGGATTCATTCGACGAGCAATCGCAAGGGCAGAGCCCACGAGAGGGACTCAAGTTCGGCCAACTCATCAGCCGCCGAGTCAAAGGAGCCCGCAGATGGGAATTTTGGACCATGAGTCGGGCAACTTGAGTCGAACTCTGCAGCCTGGTGTAGTTTCGTGTGGCGTTCCCTTTTTTTTTGGGCATCGGACCTGCCGGAAAGGATTTTGGCGTTCCTTGTGGCCCTTTCAAAACCACAAAAATCAGTAGCAACTCGAAAAAAGCCACACCCATCCAAAGGCAGCCTACCTGCATTTCTCTTAATTTCTCTGACCCCCTCTCTCTCCCCAAGTTCCTGACCTGCACACTTTTTGAGACACCTCTGTACTGATAAACACAAATAGTTCCTCGACTTTTTCTGGCCCAGCCGTGGAAGTGAGAGAAACCAGGTTGACCTACCTCAGAGCAGGAGTAACCAGCAGATTAGCTGAAGGGATCCCCAAATACTCCACCAAAATAGGACACGTCTTCGGGTGGAATCTGGGCCCTGCGCTAAAAACCCTAAAGCGAAGGCGGCCCTTTAAAACGAAGCCTCCAGAGATATTCCGTGTTTGCACCTTGTAGTTTTGGAGATAGCTCAACTGTTAACGTGGTCTGTGCGAGAGACGGGTTCAAGACGAGTCGCACGACGGAGCTCCGGCAGATTGAGTGGGCCCTCGACTTCCGGGTTCATCTTTGAAGCTGCCGTCCTTGATCAGGAGACGTCACACACCAGCAACTACTTTGGCAACCACCAGGCAACCACCAGGCAACCATGCCGGCGCGTGTCCTATCAGCAATGTGTGAAGGAAGAACCCAGTGTGCGGCAGAAATCACCCCTTTTTCTCGGATTGAAGGGAAACCGCGCCTTGTTGCTGGCTCAAAGAGAATTCCTTTCCGCTTGAAGGTTCCTCCATGAGACCAAGTCTTGCCTATTTGTCAGAAGTGCCCCGCAGGTCCGCGTCGCCGGCCACACCGGCCACGCCCTTTCAGGGGCTGGGCCGCTTGGCGGAAGCTGCGCGGCAGTGGCCGTTGGAGGGCTTGGTTTGAGCGAATTTTGGGTATGGGTCCCGGTCAATGGCTCCCATCCCCTTAGCCTTTTAGTGTTTAGTGGTAGTTTTTATTTAACCCACTAAAAGTTAGTCACTTTTAGCGGGGGATCGGAAATCGGGCATATTTGAACCATTGGCGACTGCTGTTTTCGCCCAAGACGCCCTCCCTCGAACAAGGCTCCGTCAAAAGAGTGCTTCTTTTGCCCATTTGGGTATGGGTCAAAATGAAAGTATGAGGGGACCGCAGATTATAGTCCTTGGTTCCATTTACTAGGGTTCCAACATGGATACCCATTTTCTTATTGAGGGTTCCCTTGGCTTTTGCAGGGTGCATTTTTTCAAGGGCGCGCAAAAGAAGGCCCGGCTCCAGCAAAGCGAAGAACAGGTCAGTCTAGATCCAGTCATCCGAGTTTCTTTGGTAGGATCCTTAGTTGGCATACCCAATCCATGGGCCCAGAATGAGTGGGTCATGGGAGGGCTCGGTGGCTAGCGACTGTGGTGTTAAGGGGCTATAGAGGTTATACCCCATTCCCCTATCCACTTGAAAGCCATATATGAAAAGGGCGCCTTCTCTGGGCTCACGGTCATGTTTAAGTGGATCCACAAGGATTTCCAGACATCACCTAGCATGGTGAACATGATTCCCGTGTCCAGTTGGTTCCAACAAGCTCTTGTACGCGGTGTTTTTGTCGCACTTGGGGTTGGAACATGTGCGGTTTAGGGCTAGGGCGTCGCATCGATCCGAGGTCAGGGAAATCGAGGCTCGAGTAGAGGTCCTGGTGTGGAAGTCAAATGACTACTCACTTCCTCAGTGAATTTGCCAAAACAAATGTAGACTTGTTGTTTCCAACTAAAAAGGTTTTTCCGCACAACTGTTAAGTCCAATAACTCAGGGAGTGATAATTGTGGATGCAACAAAGCTGGCCCAAATGGATCGTTCAAAAGGGCCCTGCCTAATCTGAGCAAATTACTCTGGCTAAGTGGGCCTGCCTGCGCAAAAAGCATGTCTTGATGCCCGCCCATTTCCGCCTTGAAAACCAAACAACACATCCTTGCTTGCCTTCAAACATCTCAAGGCTAGGATGAATCCAAGGGTGACCTACCACTGGGTCACTTAACTAGATTCCGCCCAGATATCCATTTAAAGCCATGAACGCTTTTGCTTTTCAAGGAACCTGCCAACACCCCCAAAAATGTGGTTTCCCTGGAAACCAGCCAAGAAGGGTACCCTCACAAAGACACACACAAAGGCAAACACACACACACACACACACACACAGAAAACACACATCAGCACGGGTCGGCTGTGGCTGTGGCTCAAATAAATGTACCAAAATGGCACCTTGGTAAATGGAACCAAAGACTAAAATCCGCACAACCCTAGCTCTTTATTTTTGAGCCACGCCCAGTTGGGTTTCGAGAACTCTGGTCAGGCACTGCCGGCCGCGAAAACGCGTCGCTCTCCCCGCGCAGCCCCTCGCCGATGGAGGTCTCGCGCGGGCCTTGGCACCCAGATCCAAACCCGAAGGGCGTGTAACTTTTTTGAGGGTAGCTTTGAAACTGTCCTTTGTTGAAGAAATGGGACCATCCAAGAGCAAGGGCGAACATTGATCGCTCTAGAATGCAAACCCCTGCCCTTTTTGGGTTGCTTTGAAAAGACACCAACACTAGACCCAAGCGAATTTGAGGGGTTCCCTATCTTGAGACAACCCCACCCGGTTGTACAAGGGCGCCTAATTGTTTTTTCATCCCCTCCAGGGAGCGATTCGAGCAAAGGCCGGGGAGTGGGGTTCCTTCTGGACGCCTTGGGGGGTCCCCTCTTTCGGGGGGCTGGCATTCGGGACCACAGCGAGGTCCCGTTCTGGAAAAAACATGTCTCTTTGAGATCCTTTTGGAAGCCTGAGTCACTCATCTTTGATGGTCTTGCATCTTAGTTTGCAGCCAAAGGCGACTCTAGGGGGGACATTGCTTTTTCTAGGGGGCCAAAAGGCGCACCCTCGACGTGGCTGCTGACTCCACAAGATCAGGAGAGTGGCGTCGAGGGTTCTTTGGTACATTCACTTCAACTTCATGGTCATCCCCCCCATCAAAGCACGCGGCGCAAAACACGAAGCGTGAAGCAACGGTCAGATGGCTTAATTCCTCTTTGCTCAAACAGAGGTAGCCTTTTGTTTCTGGAAGTAGCACATGAGCTGGTGCTGAGCTGTTTGACACGTTGATGATATGTATGTGTGAAATGATGATGCGTCCTAAATGTGCGAATCCCCCCACAAATCTGCGTTGCTCTTTCGTGACAAACACAAACTTGTTGCAGGGGCTCAAGAGGTGGGTTGCCTTTGGGCCTTTTCAAGCCTATAGCGGTAGCTAATTTCAGGAGCAAATCAGGTTGCAAGAGCACTCTTATGCAATGTAATAAGAGCCAAGAACATGGGGAAGATTTCTGTGATTTCAAGAAGTTCCCCTTTTGAGAGAGGGAAATGTGAAATGTGTTCACCTCGGAAGGAGATTTTGTAAAACTAATCTATCATATATACTAGATATATTGGTTATCAAATCCCAATATTTAAGCAACTATTAGTCTCATCAATCATGTTGGTTTTGACGTCATCCTTGGGAGCCCAAGGACCTTCATTGCCGATTCATGGCCCTTTGTCCTTGGCCCGTCATTTGACACATTCCGGTAGGGATGCCAACCGTAGCCAGGTTGGCCGAACTAACACGTTTGTGTGTTCTTGGCACTGCTCAAGTGGATTCTCTTGAGTGGTGATATTTGACCGGGGAATGTCGGGAAAACAATGAACCCAATCAAGCAAAAGCTCAGTACACAACACAACACCTCATCATCACTGGGTGTTCGTCTCCACGGAGATTCCTCTTGCAACGTTTGTTGGGTTCCATGCTTATTTGGAGCGTGCGTTGCTGGTTGCCCTTCCACTAGTGGTACTTCCAGAAATCACGTAGGCGCACAAAAATCGCTGCCATGTTCGGGGTTTTGCAACGAATGCCTGCCTTGTGCCCAGGGACCAAACGCCAGGAGCTTCGAGCAAGAGGCCGACCATTTTTTTGCACATGGGGCCATCGGGGCTAGGCAGCGAATGGAGCGCTAGTTGGTTAACTCCCCTGCAAAGTTAACGTGGAACCCAAAAAGGACGTCCCCGGAGGTTTCTCTACAAAAAAGAGCGATTTTCAGGCGAGCAACCACCGATTTGGGGGTAAAGCGAGATTGCTACTTGTCTTCCTGCCGCGCTCAAATTGATCAAGGCTTTGGCATGAAGTTAAGTGGTGAATGCTTGCCCTCCATGATGAACATGTTTCAACATTTACATGGAACCTGAAAACACAAGAAATATGGCAGCCTCAACACCCACACAAGGGGCTCCACGGAAACAAATCACAGCTCTTCCTACCCGCCCATCGTATGTTCCATGTTGCAAGCACTTTCTTTAGGGCATTGTTTTGTTTGCCTCTCTACTTAGAAAAGCTAGTCCACCAAAAAAGTTCTGGTTTGGGGACACCACTTGGACTTATGTTCGCGCTGGAAGTCCCATAGCACTCCCCCAGATTGTTTCGACCCCAGCGGAATCCGCGTATGGGAAACCCACCACGTGTGGCTTCTCTTTGGTTATCTTTTACATGCCCAATACCAGCAACAAGACGCACACACCTGAATTATTTAGCTGTGGGTTTAAATAAAATCCAGAGGACCGCAGGTTTTAGTCCATGTTTACATGCACCAGGGTTCAATTTTGGATGACTTTTTTTGAACCACGATTTGGTCCCCATAGAGCGCTCGCTAGAGAACTTGGACCCATGAAATATCAGCCGGATTGGATTTCCTACCCTTTAAAGACGACATCTGTTGGCCCGGTGAAGCCGTTCCGAATGTTTTTTGTCTTTTTTTTGGGGGGGGCGATGGCAACCACGCCGTTTTTTTGTGGGGACAACTCACAAGTCCGAGTTTTGGTCTTGGAATGGAGGTTGTTGCTAAATTTAGACCAGGATCCGGTCTCTGTGAATGTTGTAAAGTCCATGGCGTTGTCTGCTTTTTCTTTTAGTTTTCACTCAAATGATCCCACTCATGCTTCCAGGTATCCACGCGAGATATGCGACACCTCCTAACTATGCGAATCCTGTGGCCTTCTTCCTGGGTTTCATCCAACTGCCCCTGGGTTTCAAACCACCATTAAAACCATGGAGGTTCATATTTCACCACCATGGTTTACCTAAGGATTGTCATCATCCAGTTTGGGTCAACCTTTCTTTTACGGGGGGTGAACCCTAGGGCTGCCTTTGGATCTCTGCGTTGCGCTCCGCGCGGAGAAAAAATTGGCTGAGTCGCGCCTGGAGGTCGGCCAAGCAGCTGTTCCAGAAGGCTTGGAAGGCCACGAAGCGCGGAAGCTCGGGTGGGGTTTTTGCCTGGCTCCAGTCATGGGGCTGGGAGGGAGGGATGGGGTTGGGGGGAAGGGGACCGGGGGGGAGGGCGGGAGCTTTATAGGAGATGGAGATTTATATATCTTAATACTGGAAAGCAGTTAATAGAAGAAGACCTAACCATTTTATATGTGTTGTTGATTTATACCACACATCCGGGGGGAGAACCCAAAGAAGCTGTTAAGGATAAACCGAGCAAAAACGGAGTGCCCTTTGTCCCCATATCCACTGGTTTGGGATAGATGGAGTAGGGAGCACCCCAGTTTTGGTTTACCCAGTGCTTCCAGTTGCCACTGCAATAGTAGCTAAGGTAGGAAATGACCATACCTATGTCCAATGTTGGTTACCAGTAGTGTCCAACGTTAGTTGTTAGTTCCCTTTTTCGCGGGCCTTCTCGTCGAGTAGCTTTCGAGGAAAACACAAATGCAACCATTGTGGTAGATGCACCGGACATCGAATTTGCATTGGGGGTCCAAGTGGGAACCCCTCCCCTGCGAGGCCTTGTTTGGGTTAAACTTCACTGACCTGGAGGGTGCCTGGAAGATTGTTTTTTCCTAGGACCTGTCAGGTGCTGTGGCAACTTGAGGGAGGGTACCATTTAACTTGGGCGCAATGGCTTCTTGGTGGCTCCCAGCCATCCGGTTCCTTAGCCTTTTAGCTTTTTAGATCGCTTTAGGCTTTAGCGGGGGTTTCCATTTAGCCCGAAAGGTCAAACTTTTAGCAGGGCATCTGAGGACAGCTTGGCCTGTTTTGGCACCGAGGCTCAGTTTTTCTGTACCAAGAGAGGCCTGACATGTGTGCAAAAACTGACGCCCAAAAGGAGAGAGCCGTGACTTCTGGCGCAAGTCCGGGCATGTAGCTAATCTGATCGCGCTCAACTTGTCAGTGAAGCACAGGATGGTCATCAGTCATCAGATCCATATGCAGACCTGTGATGTGAATGAAAGAGTGAAGTGGCATAGTGCTCACTCCCTGCGCTGGGCTTTATACTTCTTGGACCATGGTCAACAAGTTCGGACTCTTGGCAAAATCCACCCTGGATTGATGAAATCCTTCAGTGTGTGTTCTCACAAAGATGTCACGCACTTGAGGCCTCTTTCTCGAGCTCTCGAAACGAGAACTGCAACCGGAGGGAAATTTCTGAATACGGCGGGGTCAAGTGGTTGCCTGTCTTGTTTTGCGGCGAGGGGTTCCCTTTTTCGGAGGGGGTAAAGGCAACCCAAAGCAAACCCCATGAGGTTCTGTTTTTTTTTTTTTACCGCCCATGTGTGTTGAGGGTGTAATCATCTGCTAAGCAACAAAAAGCACGGCGAAAGCCATGCCAAGGGGAGGTTCCCCCTCTGAGATCCCGAGATCTTTGACGCATTTGGGTTGCCGAGGCGCATGGGCAAAGCATGA